AAATAATAGTCAAACAACTAAAAACGTGCCATAATGACAGAGAAAAACATGCCAAAAAGGTAGAATTATTAAAAATAAAAAATAAGATAAAACGAAGATACAATATAATAAAGTAAAGGAAAAAATAATAAATACCAACGATCGACAACTAGTATCAAAACTGATGTCACCTCCGATCATAAAAATGAAGAAGAAAAGAGACCGGCGACGACTATTTTTTCATATTTAATTTTTAATGATTATATATATAATTATATTAAAAGTTAAAGTTAAATTGAAAATTCATTCAGCATATCCAAACTTACAAGTAAAATTTAAATCAAAGGATAGATTTATAATTCAAATATTAAATTATTAAGAATAATTATATATTTATAAGATAAGAATAACTTAAACCAGACAAGCAAATAATACTAAGCTGTCCCCAAACTGAAATTGAACTTGGCTCCAAAGAGAGGGCAAGAATAACCCAACAATATCAAAAAGAGAAACCCAAACAAAAACGGGCCGAAAGTAGGAACTAACAACATCGATGTGATCGTAACGAGAAGGTAACATCAGCATAAGAAAATAGTACCATAATACCTTCCTACGTGTTGGTGCGTGAAGGTTGGGGAGCAAAATTCAACCTTTTTTTTTTCTATTTTAAATTATTTGAGTTAAAATTTTCAAATCAACTCGAGTTGTAAAGTCAAATTTTGAATTTGAGTCTATTTAGAATTTGAAATTTCTAATTAACTAAACAATAAAAAAAATTAACTGAGTATTTTGATAGTTTACAATTTGGTACCTAACTTATTCATTCAATTCCTCATTAACTTTAAGTCTATTTTTTTTTATCAAATTTGAATTACATGCTCCCAAACCATTTTAGAATAAATATAAACCTTCAATTCCTCTTTTTTATAACAAAATTTTCATTTTTTAAATTTAGCTTTTTGATTTTACACGAGTTTCACATTTCTTCAATTTCTCATTTATTTTAAGTTCATTTTTATCAAATATAAACCACATGCTCTCAAATCATTGTAGAATACTTATATATATTCAATTCATCAGTTTGATAGAAGATTTCTATTTTTCAATTTAGTCCCTCAATTTTGTATAATTTTCTCATTTCTTCAATTCATCTTTTATTTTAAATTAATTTTGACCAAATTTAAACCACACCCTCATGCAATATAGAATACTTATGTTCAATTCTTATTTTTAGCTACAAATTTACTTTTTTCAATTTAATCCCTTAATTCTGTATTCTATTCAATTTGGTCATTTGTTTGCAATATTTTACAAAATTCTTTCTTCCTATCAATTTTTGAATCATACTTCCATCAACATTTTTTTCTCAAAATAAATTATTTAAAAAATAATAATATAAATATATTTTATAATTTTAGATTGTATTTGATTTATTAAATAACATTATAATGTAAAAAAATATTAACATATATATATATATATATATATATGGTTAGAAAAAGTTGATAAATTAGAACCAATTATAAAATAATATTACAAACAATTACAATTAAATTTATATAAAAACTCGAATAATTGAACTCAAAAAAATTTAAATAGAATTAGAGTCATAATATTCACTTGTACGTGAAGAAGTGGCCAGATGCTTGGCTCACGGTTAGAAATTTGACAACCAAATTTTACAGTCTAGTTGATCAACACATGTTGGACTTCCCTGTACTGGCAGTGTCAACTTCCCACAAAAACTCTTTCTTCTATAGAAAATTCTACGACACATCTAACATATTGCAACATACCACTAAATTGACGCATCGAAACATACAATTAAAATTTATTTTTATTAATATTTATATAATAAAGATAATTTTTTAATTTATGCCTGGTTGTGAGTTTAGTTTCACGTTTGTTGCTAGTATTCGAGTTTTAAATAACGGTCCGATAGTGTCCGTGAAATAGCGGTAACGTTGTCTTCTGATATATCCATTATACCCACAATAGCGTCCGTTATGGCTGCAATCGCGATAAACGGGATATGATCGAAAACACGACCGCGAATTTGAGAACTAGCATATGCATTCGTAGCGTTGGGCTCGCTGAGTAGTAGTTTACTTTTGCTGAATTTGAGAGCGTCTTGGTCATGTGATTTGGCTCTTGGTGCTATGTGGTCTTGAGTATTGTGAACCAAGGTATTCTGTCTCAATTTCAGGTGCTGCAGTTTAGGATAGGCTGGGTCTTTTATTACTTGTGAAGTATAGTGTTGAGTGGAATATCCATTTAATTGTTAGTGGACGCTCACTGGTGTGGCTGGATTGGATATATTATATATTTCCTTCTGTCGGAGTATGGTTTGAGGAAGAATCTCTTCCCGCAGATTCTTTGTCTTTGGTTATAAGTATCTTGGCATTGAGGACCCTATCAGTTAAACTCTATTGTTTTTCATGAAGGGATGAGAATTCAGGAGAGGGAAGCCTTGAAATCTCAAACCAGTTAAAAATAACACAAGTTTTTCCATGAAATAATTGGAACACATCGATAAAAAAAATCACAAGTTTATATATGTAATAATTTTTAAGTTAAAATATATATATTATTAAATCTTTCCACAATTACCGTGCATTGCATTACTGACAAAGTAAAACCATAACCTTGACAATTACAGGACAACCTTAGCTAGCAACCCATAATATTATTAATAAGCTTCGAACACTGAGAGTAAAAGCAACCAATGTTGTACCTTAACCGTTGTCTCAACCTTCTTCTCTTTTATAGTATCCAAGCTTGGTTTCCACCCCTTCCCTGAACATTGCCTATTCAAATACTGTGCCGTACTTTCCAAACCCTCCGGCAATAACTCCGTTAAACATCGAACCCCAGCTGATCTCTTGTCGGCACTTTCCTTCTTATGCTTGAGGAACTTATGTCCCACACCGTCGAATGAATCATTTGCTGTGCAAATCCTGGAAAACAAAGGAAGAAAATTGGGCGACGACGATAAAAGTGACTTCGACCTCAACACTGACTTCGCAATCAATAGCACACGATGAGCTTCCTCTGATGACAAAGTCAACGGCTTCCCTCGTTTCACTGGTAGCATTACGTAAGGCTTTTCTACATCGAGTTTATGGTCCGCTGGCAACGGGATTGGCCTCTTTTGATTAATTGCTGCGTTGAACTCCACCACAACTTGTTGTGAATGCTCCACCATCAGCTCCACCGCTTCCAAGGGACAAGTAAACTCGTGAACCGAGCCGTCCGAGAGAATTACTTTCCCGGTGGTATCTGATGTCTTAGTACTGCTCATGTTACCCATGAGGAAAAGAAAAAAGGCAAAGGAAAGTGGTTTTTAAGTGTATGAATTGTGAGATGAAAGCAGAGATGAGTGAATCCCATGGCAGGAATTTGGAGAAGTTGTAGGATGATTTTGTGGTGAACTTAGTAATATCATAAAAATGTCAACAATAATTAAGAATGAAGGCAAACAACAACTCATCGTTAGGCGTAGATAAGTGCTAACACTATTAATTATCATTTTGAAAATATTTTAATTAATTTCCAATGAATTCACGGTTTTATAATAAATATAGATAATTAATAATGAAATTAATTCAATAAACAAACAAATAAAAAAGCATCAGCTACAATTAAGAATGGGGAATGAACACAACATCATAACTTGGTAAACGTAATGGTGGAATGTATCAAATTGCGTCATAAAATATTAATACGACCAAAAGATCCAAGTTTAGAAATTGGGGAAGATTAGGGCTACAAACAAATTGATTCAAGTTCAGGTATTGTTGAATTCGATTCGATTCAAAAAGTTTAAAAGAGTTTGACTTGACTCGAAAACTTGCTAGCTTAAAATTGTCGAAGTTCAACTTGAACTTGAAATAAAAAATTGAAGCTCGATCGAAAACTCATAAGCTTAAAATTTTTGAACTTGACCCAAAATAAAAAATTGAAGCTCCATTGAAGCTCAAAAAAACTTAAAGAATTCTCAAACTTAGCTCAATTGAAGCTCAAACTCGAGCTCAAACTTAAACTTTGAGTACATGAAAGCCTTATATTGTATTTTTAAAAGGCATGATGCCAAAAATAGCCCCAATGTTTACCAAAATGGTCATATTGGCCTTTATTTTTTTTAGAGGATTTTAGCCCTCAACGTTTCACTTCGGGACAAAAAGCTCCCTCTATAGATGAAAACCATTAATTAACACACGATTAATGCTCCAAAATAAGAGTCTTTTAACCTAAAATGAATCATTGAGGGCTAAAATGTCATAGAAAAAAAAACAACAAGGGACAAAACGATTATTCTATCAAATATTAAGTGCTTTTTTGTCCTAAAATGAAAAGTTGGGGGCCAAAATGCTCCAAAAAAATAGAATAGAAGGCAAAATGACCATTTTAATAAAAGTTGAGAGTTAATTTTGGCATTATGCCTTTTTCTAAAATAACATATAAATGTTAATATTAGTAATAATTTAATTTAAAAATAATAAATTTAATATATTATCTTTTCAAGTTGTTCACAAGTTTTTTGAGTTGCATATCAAATAACTTGCTTGCTTTGGTCTTGAATCAAGTTCAAACTCATTAAAAGCTCGAATGGCTCAACTTTGTCTCATCTCATTTATAGCCATAGGAAAGTGCATTTACGTATTTACCTACTAGGTCTCTCTGTGTTCTTTCCGATGATTTCACGCAAGTTATTCTATTGACACGCAAATGAATCAAAACCAGAATTTCAATCTTTCATTTTTTTTTTGCAAACCTGTTTATACATTGAGAAAACAACAGGACCAGAGATTAGTTGCCACACGAAGATTTTACAGGGCAGTGACAGTATTACATCCCTTCTATACATCCAAAATCAAATACATCCCAATTTTAAAACACTTAAGGGCAAGTTCAAACAGTTTGATGAATACATTCTTTTACCAGAATTTGGTGTCGTGCGACAGAACTGGGGTTTGGAAGCCTTAAGATTTTCATAATGCGTCGTCTCTCTGGCCATTACCCTACTTGATATACTGAGACATCCACTTGAAGCCATCACCATATCCCATTTTGCGCACAATGCTGCACATAAATACCTCTAGTGGACGGACATTTGAGTCTGCTAGATTTACCTTCCCCTTGCCGGTGGTAAAGTTCGTGAGACCAAGATGGTATCGTAATTCATCCTCTGATGCAGCATATGGTATATCGATCTTGTTTCCTAGGATAAGAAACGGTACATTGGCAAGTGACTCGTCTGAAAGGAGTGCATCTACTTCCTTCTTTGACTCTGCAAACCTCTCTTTATCATAGGCATCTACCAGGTAAACCACAGCATCAACCTGGAACCCAGAAAATATACAATTCATGAATTCAAAGCATCACTCAAGGCAACGCAACCACTTCTGAATAAAAGCAATAAGAACAAGAACAAGGAGGCATAGCTAGGGCTGAGACGAGACAGATCGCGAGCTACTCGAGATCGACTTGTTCAAAGCTCGATCAACACTCGAATCGAATGAACTCGACTCGATCTCGAACTCAACTCGAATTCTTAACGAGCTACTTAATAACCGACTCGAAAAGCTAGCAAGCTACTCAAAAAAATGTTATATTATAATTTTAGATTTTTTAAAATTACAATATTAAAAATACATTATTGATAATTATAATCTTTTAAAAATATATATTTAAATGTAATATAAGATTTTTGTAGGTTCAAATTCTAGTTTGAATCGAGTTCGAGCTTGAATCGAGCTCCTGAATTTTTTTTAGTTCGAGTTGAGTTTCAATTTTATATTTAAAGATCAAGCTGAGCTTGATAATTTTTAGCTCGCGAGTTTTTGAGTCGAGTCGAGCCTAATTTTAAACTTTTCGAGTTCGAGTCGAGCTTAGTAATACTCGAGCTCGACTCGGCTCGTTTACAGCCCTAGGCATAGCAGCTTTTATATTTTACGAAAAATATCCTACAATTCATAAATCTCTTATTCTAATCCCTTTTACTCCGGTCGTCAGCCATCTCTAATTACCCATCCGTCGTTGAACGACCATCTATTTGTTGTCAACTACCCAATAATTAACTATCACCATTGCTATCATCTCAAATCCCAAAATTCTCAAATTCTAAATTTAATCTCTAACCCCTAAAATCCCAAATATACACTATTAAACCTTAATAGCCCTTAATATGATGTTAGCTTTCTTTCTCATGTTAAATCTGGTGTGATGTTTCTCTCTCAAGCTTTTTCTCTCATATTAAATTTGGTGTGAGCTTTCTCTCTCAAGCACAATAACACTGTAAAAAGGAGACATAAAATGTTTGGGCACCTAAAAAAAATTTGGGCATAACTTTGAAAAAATGTATAATTTTGACACTTATTTTTATATTAAGTTATAGTAAATTCTTGACTTTTCAAGTAATAGAAAGATGTATATCATTCTATTGATTGACTAATCAAAATTGAGTATTCTATAAGTTTATTATAAGATGATTCTTCCAACTCGGTTACTTTATTCACATCACTAAAATTTAAATTTCTGACTTTACTTAAGAGATCTAATGTCTTATTCTATTATACCAACTAATCGTCGGTATAATAGATATAAGTTATATCCAATGTATAATGTGTATTTATTGAATGAAAATTTTAAACTTAAAGTGTTAACAATATAATAGTGTTAGGTGAGCAAACACATTTGATTGGTTGATTAAATTGCTCATAATTGTTTTCTCATATTCTCTAAGGTTATGAGTTCACCCTTTTCTTATCTTATCTAAGTAACATTAGGATTATAATTAGAATGTCAAAAAAGAAAATTGATAGTGTTAGCTTTTGTTGATATTATTATTATTTTTATCAAATATCATATTTTAAATGTCGTGTGATAAACCAACAATACACTTAATTTTTAATTTGATACATATATTTTATTTAAGTTGATATTTTAATGTCTAAATTGATAACGATATTTTAATACTAATATATTAAAATATCTCTTAGAATATTTTAAAGTTTAAAAATTAATTAAAATTTGGTTATAGTTTGTGAAGTTTATATGATTAAACTTTTTTTAGTTAAATTATTCATTTGATTCACTCAACAGGCCAAAGATTCATATATTTTATAAACCTTATTTTCATATTATAATTGAAATTTTGTAGTATAAAGAACTTTTGTCTTCGTGGGTTAAGGTAATTTTGAGTTCCTCGGTTCCTGGGTAAGGGAAAGCCGCTGTATCTTGGGGGATGTATAGAATTGTTTTTGTATTGATGTGATTTCTCATTTCTTATGAGTCATTAGCAAACTGGAAAATTACGAAAAGTGATAGGGTTAAAAGATGATGTAAAACTTTTTTTAAGAATGAAGAGAGGATGACAAACTGCACTGTATATAATCTACCTGCACCTGGTTATAATATTGCTTTCTATAATGACCTCATCAACGATATGATATACAAAGAATGTTTTGATTTCAATTCAGTCTCAGGAAAGATGTGTGCTTTTGTACTCCAAATAGTATCAGTTGATGGTATGTGTGCAAAATTATTTTTATGTTTAGAAGCCTTTGTGATCTAAAACAACAATATCAAACAGATGCAAACGAAACCTTTCATAGAAGAAGCCACAAGGGCAAAATTTGCTAAGAAAAATATTGAAATCAAGATCTCAATGCCATGAAATTATTCATAGAACTCCCAATTGAGTTTGGTCATCTTCAATCTAAGAGCCAAAATGAAGGGAACGCATATAACAAAATACAACTGAAGCTGTCCACGATTTCACAAGACATAAAACATTTATTCTTCTGCAACGACACTGATTTCACCTTTCTCGAGCATGTCGTAGAATGCTCTCACTTTCCTCTGCTCGTTCCAGTGATGCATCTTCCAGAGCCCACCAGCACAAAGGCCAAGCGTTATCCCGATAACTATTTCCTTAACAACACTTGGTCCTTTCAAGGTAGCATGAGCAACCCTAGAACCAGCCATTCACTTCTATAGTTGAATCTGGAAAACCGAAGCCATAATTTAACATTTCATTTTCCAAGTCTACTTATGGATGAATATGGGAACATCACAATTATAATTTAATTTTAAAAAGAAAATCAATTGAAAAACCAGATATGCAAGCAGCAGAGTCGACAAACAAATGTTCATAAACCTCATAATGACAATATAGAACAATTAATGAAAATTTTTGTACTTAACTAGCACTTTGGCCCATTCAAATCACTCAAAATGGCTATAATCCATGCTGCTTATGCATCTATTCGTGTGTTAAGTTAAAAACAATTTTATGATTGTCAATTAATCAAGCAATACAACCGATCCCTTCAACTTATTCATTGTTTAATGCTTTACACCACAAATTTATCAATGAAGCCTTGCCTTAATACCTTTCCTATTTGCCAATGTAACAAATCAACACATTCAATATTCATTTCCTTGGCTTTATTCAATCCCAGTTTTACATTGCACAATTCAACAGCAGTTTTACGTTGCATATTTCATGCTTTCTCTTATGTCTAAGCACTAAGATTAGAGGTACAGAGTTCGAGTCTCTTAGCTAGACAGGGGACAGATTTACAATAGTTCTCAATCAAGCAACACAGCCCTAACTAATACTCAAAAAAAGGAAGAAAACGAGCGCTGTTGTCATTTAAAAAATAATTAAATATAAAATTATGTTCTTAGCTATCACGTAAGAAAAATAATATATATTCCCAACCGCTACTTCGATTTTCAAATCCATGTTAGGTATATAAAATTTCAAACCGAAAATTACAAAGCACTGATGAAACAATCGTAAAGAGAAAAAAGGATCTTAGATCACCATCGTGAACGCTGTTGAACCACTCAAATCAATCTCAAGATCTTTCGAGACTAATAACTAAAACAAATAAATCATCATTTCGACGGATAAAGAGATTAATAATCATCGCGAAACCGGAAAGAAAATGGAGGAAGAAATCGTATGAATAAATTAGGGTTTACCTAAACGAAGCTGCGTCGATGAACAAAGGATGGAATTCGATTGGTACAGCCCTTCCCAGTGAAGAGACTATATATCGTTTGACATCATTTATAGAAAGCATCAAATTATCTATTTTGCCCTTTATGAAAATGAAATAAGTGGGCTCGAGCTGGGATAGAATAAAAACGAACCCAATATCTTAACGGGTCAATAGATATATCCAATATCTCACTTCTATTTTGAGAATTTTTATTTTATTTTTAATAAAAACAATAAACTTTTGAGATGAAAAATGTTTTACAAATGAATTATAAATAGATTAAAGATGAAAATAAATTTAAAAATAAGTTTTTAACTTAAAATAAAAAGTTAAAACATACAATTTTTTTATTATGAAATTATCATCATATTTTGAAATTAATTATATTTTTTTATATTTAATATAAATATTTTATATTTTTCATAATACCTTTTAGCAGTATATTTAAACACTAGATTACAATGGTATGAATCTATTAAATAAACACTACATTATAATTGTATTAAAATATAATTATCATCTCATGTCATATTTCATTGTATAAATTATAATTATATAATTATATAATTTAAAATATTATTAATTATAAAATTTTCTTAAATCCTAAAATTGTTTTATAAATGAGGTAAAGTCCAATTACACAATATAAAATTAAAAATTACTAAAATATAACATTTTGATACTGATCTTAAAAATCTTAATGCTCAAGTAGTCAAGTAAGTTAAACTAATATTATTTAAAATTTTATTGTTGATTGATTAAAACAGAAATAAAGTAAAAATTTCTTTAAGTTTATGAATAGACCATTGTGTTATGAATATTATACATTATAAATAATTAAGAAAAATTCTGAATAAATACTACATTATAATCCATTTAAACTATTTTTAAAAAAAGTAAAGAAATGGTGAAGTGCTGCGTTTTGATAGGGAAGAAGAATGGAACCTTGTCGATTGACATCATTCTATTTCTAGACCCATTGGTTACAACTCAAAGAAAGAGCTACAACTCATCGAACAAAACCCTTAAGCCTACAGCTTAAACCCCAATACACAAAAAACACAGATGAATTTTAGGAATCCGATTCCGTTGAGATCGTGGCTAGTGAGAAAGCTTAGCACTTCGGCAGGCCAAAATGCGACGGCGGAAGGGGCGAAGGTTGCGGTTCGAAACGGAAACATGCTGTACACGAGGCTTTCGGCTTTAGGAGCGACGGGAGGGACGGTGTCAGAGACGTTAAACGAATTCATAATGGAGGGGAAAAAGATCAGGAAAGATGAGCTGACCCTCTGTGTCAAACTGCTGCGCAAGTATCGTCGTTATCAGCACTCCCTTGACGTAAGCCCTTGATTCCCCATTTCCCCTGTTTCCGAGACCTAGTGAACACTTCCTTTAATTTTCATTTAGATATTGTTCCTTAAGAAGAAAAAGAAGAAGTAAAAAAAATACTCAGTTATTTAATTTGAATTTTAGCCAATAATTTGTTTATTATGGTTATTATAATGTAGATAATGGAATGGATGGAGAAGAGGAATATACACCTTTCGCACATTGACCACGCTGTACGTTTGGATCTCATTGCAAAAACCAAAGGACTAGCTGCCGCCGAGGATTACTTAAGCGCCCTTCCTCCCCGTGCAAAGAATAAAATGACTTACGGATCTCTTTTGAATTGCTATTGCAATAATCTTATGAAGGATGAGGCGTTAGCACTTTTCAAGAAAATGGATGAATTGAAGCTTATTGACAATGCTTTACCTTTCAACAATATCATGTGCCTGTATTTGAGATCCGGAAAGCCCCAGAAGGTGCCTGAACTTATCGATCAATTGAAGAGCCGAAACATTACCCGGAGTCACTTCACTTACATTCTCTGGATGCAGAGCTATGCAGACTTGAATGACACTAAGGGAGTAGACAGTGTTTTAGAGGAGTTGTTAAATGATAGTGAGGATAAGTGTACTTGGACGACATATAGTAATCTGGCTGCAATTTATGTTAAGGCTGGTCAGTTTGAGAAAGCTGAGTTATATCTTAAGAAGTTGGAGACAGTTAAGAAGCCCCGTGAGCGTGAGGCTTTCCATTTTTTGATTAGCCTGTATGCTGGTACTTCAAACCGAGCCGAGGTTTATCGACTGTGGGAAGCTCTGAAACGAGTCTTTTCTGGTGTTAACAACACGAGCTATCTTATTATGGTTCAGGCACTTGCTAATCTGAAGGATTTTGAGGGTATGAAGGAATGCTTTGAGGAGTGGGAGACTAGTTGCTCTATTTATGATAGGAGGTTGGCAAGTAGTACCATCCGTGGTTATCTATCAGGGGATATGCTTGAGGAAGCGCAACTTGTTTTTGATAATGCTGTGAAGTGAAGTAAAGTTCCTTTTACTAAGGCCCGAGAGCATTTCATGGTTTACTTCTTAAAGAAAGGTTGCATTGACATGGCTTTGAAGCATACTGAAGCAGCGGTTTCTGAGGTCAAGGACAGGAGCCCTTTGAGTCCTGAAACTAAGAAGGTTTTTTTCGATTATTTCTTTAATGAGGGTGATGTTGAGGCCGCTGAGGAGTTCTGCAAGATTCTCAAAAACAACAATGGTATTGATTCCGAGGCCTACCAGTGGTTATTAAAAACTTATGTTGCTGCTGGTAAAGTGGTTCCAGACATGCGTCAAAGGTTGGAGGCTTACTGTATTGAAATCAGCAAAGAGCTTCAGGATTTGGTTTTAAAGGTTTGCCCTGAGTAATATTGTAATCTGAAGCTGTTAACAAACCTAAAATCACTCGGATAATTTTGACTTCCTATTTCATGATTCTTACTGCTAAGACATCACCAAAAAAGCGTTCCATAATTTCCAGTGCATGGTTGTGATGGAGTATTTTCGTGAACCAGTATATTTCGGTTGGTTCAATAATGTTCCGAAGTAGCTCCCTTTGTAAGGTTTCTTTGCATTTAGAGATAGAATAAACTTGCTATGAAGATGAACAGTATGAGTTGGCCCTTGGGGTCCAAAAGATGAGGTAGAAAAAGGGGCATCAATGAGTTACCATTGTAGATCGCTCTGAGAAATTACATGGTCTTCTCAGTTTCTGTATTGGATATGTACGTTACATCTCATCAAGCTTTGTTTGGGAATGGGCTAAACGTGCAATATAGAAAATTTCTTTGCTCGAGTTTGATTTTAAATGCTTTGCTTCAGAGTCACACGATGGATCTCCGTAGAGGATTTAGGTGTATAATGCTCATCTGCATCCGCCTAGTAATCAAATTTCAGAAATCGAGTAAGAGGTGGTTTAGGGCTTAGGATTTAAGATTAGTTTAACATTGTTATTGAAAAATACAGTGAAAAAGTTTTTTTTTCTTTTTCAAAAAATTAGATTTTAAGATATACATATATATATATTCAAATGATATTTAATTTTTTAATATTGTACTTAATAAAATATGTGTAAATTATATAGATAAAAATATGTTAAATTTTATAAAGATTTATTGAATTATTTCAAGTTATAATCAATTTGATAGAAAATATAACTTATGAGGATTAAAATTATTATTATATCATGTCACACACCATTTATATTAAATCAATTATTGAATTTAACAATAAATGATTAAGACAAAAGTGAAACATAATATTAATTGTAGTTTAGGAAAAATAATTGAATGACTAAACACAAGAATAAATGACCAAATAGATAGTTTACTCCCAAAAAATTACCGCTGCTTCATTAGCATTTTATTACTCAAGGTTAAAGGGCTTTTCGGTTGGATTTGAACCGAGTCCATACCCGGATTCACAAACAGATCTGAGGCCTATGTGCAGATCCTCTGCCGAAGTGTTATTTATAGGTCAAAACTCCAAACAAGTATCAGATCCTTCTTCAGTCTCATTTTTCTCCGAGCTTACTTTAGTCGCCGTCGGGCTCTAAAGCATCGACTCCTAAATTACTCATAGAAAATGAAGATCAGAGATGCTGTACTTTACTTATTGATCTTAGTTTACACAATTTCAGTTGTCTCTGCAAATTCTGTCCACGGCTGCGGCGGATTCGTTGAGGTAAACTTTTAACACTTTATTTTATTTTCTGTTCATTTTTATTTATTAAAAATGATAAGAAAGTTTCCAGAACAAATATTTTCGGGTCTTTATTATCTTGTTTCTTGGAAATCAAGATGATATATTGTGGTGAGAAGAGTTTTTTTTTTTGGCGTGTTTCTCGATCTGAATTTGTTGATTTCTGCTACGATGCGATGGTTATTTTGACCGTTATTAGTATTGTTTTTAATTTGTTCTTGTTGTTGCCGCCATTTAAACTTAACATTAATGTATCATTTTGTAGGCGAGTTCGTCTGTAATCAAATCGAGGAAAGAAACTGATGCAAAGTTGGATTATTCTCACATCACCGTACGGATTTGGCGATGTGTTTTTTGTTACGTCAATAGGATTTTTTTTTGGGATTATATTAATTTTATACATCTGATTTCCAGAGTATGTCCATTCTTATTTGCAGGTTGAGCTTCGAACTGTAGATGGGTTAGTAAAGGAAAGAACTCAGTGTGCTCCGAATGGATACTACTTCATTCCAGTATATGATAAGGTTTGTTATCTAATATTCACTTGAACTCTGGGTTTTGACAACGTGAATTCATATTTGAGATTTTAGAGGCTCTGTTTTGCTTAAGCTACTTCAACCTAATGCTAGCACAATAATACCTTTGCTCTCTATATCTTTTAATCCACTGGTTTGCAACCCGTTTTTATTTTTCCATTTTTTTTCATTTTCAGACCTTACTCTATGTGGTGCCTAGGCATGCTGCATGGCATGCTTGCTCTGAATGTAGTTCCTTGTTGGACTAATCAATGCAATTTGTGTACAGGGTTCTTTTGTTATCAGAATAAGCGGACCAGAAGGATGGTCTTGGGATCCTGACAAGGTTTGGTTCATTGTTATTACAATATTTTCTTACAGTTAAAGCTATAAGATATCAATGTTCCTACATTTAAAGCTAAATGTATTTCTGTAGGTTCCTGTTGTCATTGACGATACTGGTTGTAACAATAACGAAGATATCAATTTCCGGTTTACGGGGTTTGTTTTATGCCTTTAAACTGTATCTTCTTTTTTAGTCTATATTATGTGTAATCTTAGTTCCACTCTTTTCTCATGCTCTGAAAGTCAATAATAATCCTTTGTGTATTTATATGTTGCAGATTTACCCTATCTGGAAGGGTTGTGGGAGCTGTTGGTGGAAAGAGCTGCTCGGTTAAGAATGGTGGTCCTGCAAATGTGAACGTGGACCTTTTATCTCCTCATGATGATCTCATTTCTTCAGAATTAACAATGTCAGATGGAACATATTTGTTCAAAAATATTATTCCAGGTACGGATGCTGCCTTGCTACTTCCATGTGAGTAGAATTTTATCTACTAGAATAATGTGCAATAACTTGGTCATACTTAAACTGTCCCACTATATATGAACTCTTATCTACTAGAATTATTTGCATTAGGAACCCTTCTTTCTCTGTAACTGTTTTTTTTTTACTTTTCATGTATCCTTCTTATGGTACAGGAAAATACAAATTACATGCTTCAAGTCCTGATTTGAAAATTGAAGTTAGAGGTTCCACAGAGGTTTTGTTTATTTCCTCAGCTCCATTTGTGCTTTGTACCGTGTTTTATGATATGTCAACCACTTGGAACTGCACTCCTTGCAGGTGGAACTGGGATTTCAAAATGGTGTTGTTGAAGACATTTTCTTTGTTGCTGGGTACGACATCCGCGGTTCTGTGGTTGCCCAGGTGCTACATAACAACTATTAAGATTCCAGTATCGTTTATTTACACATATTATGATGCATCATATGATTAGATGTCTATGCATGAGTGTTACACTCTAAAGATTTAAAAGAGAATTCTTGAGTAATTGTTTCTTTTCACCTACACGCATGTGCATAATGCATTAATTCATAAGTTTATTTGTCTTATATATCCTCTAACAGTCAGGTCATTGTTTTTCAGGGAAATCCCATCTTGGGAGTCCATATATATTTATATTCTGATGATGTCATTGAGGTAGATTGTCCCCAAGGTTCTGGTAATGCCCCTGAACAAATAAAAGCTCTATGTCATGCTGTCTCTGATGCTGATGGGATGTTCACATTCAAATCAATTCCTTGCGGTAAACCAATCTAAATGCACACCTTCCACTCATTTGACTTTTATAATCTAATTTAAGTGTGGTACTAATCAGCTGGATAGGGAATATTTTAGCATGTGAGCTAAGGTTGCTCTGCCCACGGAGTGGCGCCCAAGATTTGTTGCCAATGGTTGTTATTTTTAAGGATGTTGCTATTTACCTGTTCATTTTAGCTGTAGTGCTCATTAGGAAAGCTTTGGTTATTTATGATAGGTTACCATTTTATTTTTGCCCTGGTGATTTCCATATGAGAGCCTTTTGATCACACACCAATTTAGATTTTTCTTATCAACCAATTTTTGTCCCTAATAAGTTGCTTTATATACGTTTTTCACTGAAGAACTTTTGATTCAAGCTGAACAGATGCTCTGGGAACTTAACAACAGAGAATAGAGGAACTTATGTTGCCATTCAATGGTATAAAAATTTTGATTCATTCTGTTGATTACTTTGAATAACTTACAGGGCTTTATGAACTCATACCATACTACAAGGGTGAAAATACAGTGTTTGATGTCTCCCCTTCTGTCGTGTCAGTGTCAGTTGGGCATCAACATGTAACAGTTCCCCAGAAGTTTGAGGTATGATACTACTGACGCTGCATGCACAATTATTTTCTTTGATGTAGCATTATGTTCTAGTATTCTTGATTTTGGGCTGTTGATGATTCATGTTATTTTTATAGAAATTTAAGGTAAGATATAAAACTCTATCTGTGTCTTTTAAAGGTCTTATTATAATTATATATAGTATTCCACCCTTGGCACCCTCTGTTTTAACCCATACATGTCTATACTTGTTCTCAATCTGTCTCATGCATAAATTTTGCGTTGTCATCCTGATTAGCACTTATGTGAAGGACAATGTTGTACATTACAGAATAAGACCACCCTAAGATTGATGATTGTGATTTCCAACACGACTTTGGCTGCATGAGATGAATATTATGAGCCAGATTACTCTTTAAGTCACAAGATGAAGTTTGTTCTTGTGATTGTCCTCTGTGAAGTGGGATATTTCTTTACAGCATATCAATGTTTATTTTCTTCAGTTCTGTCATTGAATATTCAGCATTTCCATGGGTCTTTTGCCTTTCCAATTTTCATGATATAAATATTTTCAGTGGATTAAATCCTCGTTCTTTTTATTTAAATGCAGGTTACTGGTTTCTCTATTGGGGGACGTGTTATTGATGCAAATGGCATTGGGGTGGAGGGTGTTAAAATTCTAGTTGATGGTCAAGAAAGGTCCATCACCGATAAAGAAGGTTATTACAAGCTAGATCAGGTATGGCTAGACATTTTTTTCAAATATTAACAACTTGTTAAGGTCCAATTATCTAACCTCTTTGCAAAATATTTATATCACGGTTATCTATTTTTTCGTTAATTATGGATTTTAAGCTTATCATATTTACTGAGCTGGGAAAGGTAATGGAATTTGGACCAGATTCACACTGGTGGCAAAAAGTTAGACATATATCTCAGTTTGTACCTGTCAAGGCAACTTATTTGAGTTTACTATATTTTTTATTTGCCTTTTCTTTTAAAGTTACATCTGGCATGAAAAAAATCTTAATGTAGCTGCATACAGACTCGATAAATTTAATTATCGGCATTTGACACTTTTTGTCCCTAACATTTCCACTGTTATTCATCTAGGTTACATCAAATCAGTATACGATAGAAGCCAAAAAGGAGCATTACAAGTTCAATAAGTTGAAGGATTACTTGGTAAAGTATATGATATAAAATTTAACATATTTTTCTGCAATCTTTGATATGGCTTCCATCCTTTCTTAGTGTTAAATGGTAAATAGCTCTATTCATATTAGCATGGAAAACTGTTGTAACTTTTGTTGATTCTGTAGTGCATTAGGATGACCGAGAACGACCTTTTTTTCTTCTTCTTCAGTTGCTTATTTTCCTTTTCCTTCTTATTATAGGTTAAGCCAAATATGGCTTCAGTTGCAGACATCAAAGCAGTTTCTTATGATGTTTGTGGTGTCATAAGAACAGTTGACTCAGGTTACAAGGCGAAGGTAACTTAAGTTAAGAAATGTATTTTTTTTTTCTTTATTAATTACTTTTTTGCAGCATATCTTATTTTACTATTGTGTTTCGGATCCTAGGTAACCTTGACCCATGGACCAGAGAATGTCAAGCCACAAGTGAAACGGACAGATGAAAGTGGAAGCTTCTGCTTTGAGGTATGCAACTAGAAGAACCAGACTTTTATTTTTTATTTTTGCTTTTATGATGATGAGAATTGAGTTAATGTAGGAGATTTTTTTATAGTTTGTGAAAATTTAGAGATTCTGAAATCTGATTGGGCAGTATTAGTGTTGCTGGATGCTGAATGGTAGTGTTCTACACATTTTCTTGCACTTAACTTTCATGTTTTGACGAGTGCCATCTTTCTTTCCAATCTTCAAAACCTTTCAGGTTCCACCGGGTGAATATCGGATATCTGCTTTGAGTGCCACACCTGAGAGTTCCCCCGAACTTCTGTTTTTACCTCCTTATGCTGATGTTGTGGTCAAGAGTCCACTATTTAACGTAGATTTTTCACAGGTAATTTTTTGTTTCACTAGAAAAGTTTAAATCTATCCGATTTGAGAAAATATTGTTTGTTTTTATTTTCTATTTGCATTTTCTGAAAACAGTCTTTTGTACTTTTACATAGAGAATGTATTTTTTTTTCAAAATTTGTTTATTAATTTAATAAACTTTTGTAAGTATTATTTGTGCTACTTTATCTTGCATGCGTAAGATGTTCTGATCCAACCTCTCTTTTTTTCACTTGGTATGTATCTTGGGTAAGCTGGTCGATTAGTAAAGATTATAGAAGTTCCCCACTCCAAAGTCTCTATAAATGCAGATTGAATTGATTATAGTGTTATTCCTTATAAGAATTATGTTATCTTCGCTCTCTCAGATTTGTGTAACAAAGTTGTAATCAAGTCTGAAGTAGTTCTTCACTAATGGATTTCTTTAATGTCAGCAAAGAAAGTCATGTGTTGGTTGGAGCAATTTGGGTGAAAATTATTTTCACTGATGTTTGTTTTTCCTCTTGACATGATTAAGGCACTAGTCAATGTCCGTGGTACAGTAGTTTGCAAGGAGCAATGTGGTGCTTCTGTCTCTGTTACCCTTATGAGATTAGCTGGAAAACATAAGGAAGGGAGAAAAATAGTGAGCTTGACTGATGGCAGCACCCAGTTTCTGTTTGCTGATGTTTTGCCAGGAAAGTACAGACTTGAGGTAGGGTGTCTTGTATGTGAACTCTTTCTATTAATGGATATGTTCAAATATCTTTGTATGTGCAGTTTGATTTATAAATTCTGCTGATACTGTAACATTGTTCATCTTTTTAGGTCAAACACACATCTCCAGAAGCTGCGTCCAAGGAAGATAACTGGTGCTGGGAGCAAAGCTTCATTGACGTGGATGTTGGTTCTGAGGATATCGAAGGCATTAAATTTGTTCAGAAGGGTTATTGGGTTAATGTTGTCTCTACCCATGATGTAGATGCATACTTGACACAGCAAAATGATTCAGTTATCAATTTGAAAATTAAGGTTAGTCTTTGTTTAGTAATATTTTCATCTCTCACGAGTAAAAACTTACATATTTATATGCAAGTACAATTGAGTTTTTCTTCATGGTATTCACACCTACTCTTATGCAATTGCAGAAAGGTTCCCAGCATACTTGTGTTGAATCCCCTGGAGTGCATGAACTTCACTTTGTTAACTCGTGTATTTCCTTTGGAACCTCATCAATGAAGATTGATACATCTAACCCATTGGTACAGAATTATACTTTTTTTTGGACAGAGAAATTACAGTTCTTTTCTTGATATATTAATTATTGGCTTCAATTATTTCATTCCTATAGCCTATCTATCTGAAAGGAGAGAAGTATCTCCTTAGCGGTCAAATCAATGTAAATTCCAGTTCATCCAATGACTTGCCTGCGGATATAGTTATGAACATTCTGAATGGTGAAGGCACTATCACGTATAGCACAAATGCCAAACTTGCATCCACTGCAATTGATCAAACTAGGACTGCTGTATATGAGTATTCTGTATGGGCCAATCTTGGAGAAAAACTTACTTTTCTTCCTATGGACCCCAGGTATTTCTTGATTAATCTATGTTTATTCGCCATTTCACCATTTTTCTCAAGGCTGAAAAGCACAGACACTATCCGTTATAGAATTGCAAAGCAATGTTTTCTATACGAAGTTTAGTCTAATTCTATTATGTCATTTTTGCATATTCACATGGTTTGTCCTTGCAAAATAATATTATCTCCTAAATGTAATTTAATCACTGTGAAGATAAATATTATGTCTTTTTTTCTCTCCTTTTTGCAATTTGATAATTATTATGTGCAACATCTTCATAACTATGAAATTTCATTTCAACTACAAATTATGATAAATGCCCGAGTAATGATTTTAACTTTTCATGCTCTCATTAGTTCCTTGAAGAGATGGAATTATTGTCTATCTTTGTTGCGATGCATACATGCCTTTGTTAGTGTTCTATCATTGTCTGTGGGAAGGCAATACTATGGAGTTCATAGTCGCCTGCATTTTTAATGTATCAAGCACTTGTTCATGGATGTTTTGATTTAATTGGTCTTACACAACTTCAATAATTTCTTGTTGCTGCTGAAAAATGCAAATTTCCAAGAATGTTACAAAGTTATTGATAAATGCAAGTGGCTGTCTTACGGTGGCTTAACAAGGAGTAATTGTTAACTATTGTTAGGAAAAGATCATTGTTACTATTTTAGGAGACATCAATTATTATTTTATTAGGAAAGTATAAAGATATTATATATGAATATTTTATACTATCATAAGTCTTTCCTTAGTTTGAGTCTTCTTTTTTTTAAATGACTTGCTTGAACTATGTAACCTCTCTTAATAAGAGGCAAATTGAGAATTGAACAAAAAACTAGGATTTTATCAAAAACCTAAAAGATCTTGGTCTCTCTTGTAATGAATCCTATAGGTTTCGATTTCCATTTGATGATCTGAGAGGTTTTGGTCTACCTCCTACGAGTTGAATCATTAATTGGATGCACAAGACCGTAAGATTGTAACATTTGGTATTTAGAGCCAACGATCCTCAACAATGGCAGAACAATGTTTGACAGAGCAACAAGTAGGAATATGCAAGATGCAGCAGACAATGTATCATATGCAGCTATCCCAACTGAGAAAATCCCTAGGTGAAGTAATTGCTGCTCAAAAGGTTAGCCACTATATGGCTGATACAATGGTAGACCCTTTACCCAAACAAAACCAAGCCATGGCTGATTCTACCAATATTTTTTCCTTGTCCCATGCATTGAGCCCTTTTAAACCCATATCGACAAAATTAGAGGCAGTCACAACCAACTTTGCTTCCTTGTTTTGTTCATCCACCCTTCCTATACTCATATCAGACATCCCATTTTTTTCCTTGTACTCGATCCAAAAAGCCTTCAAGGCTATATCAAAAAAGTTTAATGGGTCTAAACTTGCTGAGTTATTTTTGCAAGTATTGAATGCTGGTGAGAAGCTTGAGGAGATTTATTCAACGGTGCTACTCAATGGGAACAAGTTTGTGAAGGTCCAAGATTTCTATCTGTTTCAACTATTAATAACGGAAGGAACCATTCGCCAAGTTGATCCTGACTTCGAGCTTGAGGACAAGCTCTTTTTCTGGGATGGCATAATGTTATGGTTAATTAAGAGTAATTGTTATTGTTTATAGAGACAGGTTATTATTAGTAGTATTTTAGGAGATATCAATTATTATTTTATCAAAAAACCTAAAATATCTTAGTCTCTCTTTTAACGAGTTCTAAAGGTTTCAGTCTCCCTTTGATGAGCTGAGGGGTTTTGGTCTCCCTTTGACGAGCTGAATCATTAATAGGAAGCACAAGATCGTAACAGGTTGATGGTGGATTTTATAGTTTATGTTGTATTCCATGTAAGAGATTGAAATGATGCATTTAGAATTGACTAGTACCCATAAATCTCAGTGTCTTTTCTAAAAAGCTGATTGATCATGAAAGTCTCCTATAAAAGTAGTTGTAACTTGCATGAGATCTCTTTAAATGCCATCTCGCTGTTGGTGTACTGTTTATAACTAGTGGTGGTTTGTTGCAGGAATAATGAAGAAAGAAAGCTTCTTTTTTATCCTAGACTACACCATGTAAGCATCAAATGGAGTAACTTATGGCTTCATCTTTATGTTAAACTATCTTCATTTTGGTCAATTATTTGCACTGTTTCTTAGGTTTCGGTGACAAATGATGGTTGCCAAGCTTCAGTACCTCCATTCTCTGCTCGACTAGGGCTATACTTGGAGGGATCAGTTTCTCCCCCTATTTCCGGCGTTCATATACAGATTATTGCTGGGGATGAGGGCAGCATGGCATCAATCAAGAAAGGAGGAGTAGTGCTTGAAACTGCTACAGAAGCAGATGGGTCTTTTGTTGCAGGACCTCTGTATGATGACATAACTTACAAAATCAAGGCTTCAAAGGTGCGGAATGTTTATTCTGGTATTATTTCTTTTGAATATCAACTTAGAGCCAATGTGTGTTAATTCCCTTTTCAAATTTAATCACTAACATAGCATCCTTGCCTCTCTGTATTTTGGCATTTGTTTATATGAACATGTTTGTCATATAATTGATATCTGAAATGATGGTTTTCTTTTCTTTTTGGTCAAATGACTTGATACTTCTTCCATTTTGTGATGAGTAACCAAGATATTTTCTTCTTCTTTTTTTGATAAGATTTGAAGGCCTCATTAAAAACCTCCTTCTTGATTAATGGAGCTTGTATAGAAGCTTCTTAATCATTGGAAGGAGGAAAAGAGTGCCTTATAATTTCATTATAGAAAATAGAATTACAACCTTGGAACAACTATTCCAAAAAACCCTTACAAACAATACAGGAGCCAGAAAACCAAACTAAAGAAGCCAACAACATAAAAATCAACCTATACCAGCCTTTGCTAAAGCATCAGAATCCATATTCGCTGTCCTTGCAACCCATCTAACAACCCCCCCTCCCCCCGAAAGTTCTAAGACTATCAACAATATCTCTAACAATAAAACCATATACAATTGGACATGAGTCAACATTATTTATCCAGTCTACTGCAACCCTGCAATCACTCTCAACGATCAGCCTATCTTTAACCCTCCCTTGAAAAAAGGCAAAGAAAGAAATACCCCTTTGAATAGCTTTAAGTTCCTTCAATGTTGGAGGTCCTGAACCAGCTGGCTCCTGAAAAGAACCTAGGATTGCACCAGATTGATCCCTCATAAGACCTCCAAGACCTGATTCCTTCCAATCACTGCTAGTGGCTGCATCCACATTTACCTTGACGAAACCCATAAGGGGAGGTAACCAAGGGATTATAGAAGACTTCAAGAAATTGTAGGACGAATAGGAATCCCCTATAGAAGGATCATAAATTAAAGAGTCCTTAGTAATAGAAACATCCTTATTCTTTGCTCGAAACCAAGAGGCCAGCCTAACTCTTGTTAAGAAAAATAATTCAGACTGATCAAGCTTTCCCCCTTCAAAAACAATAAAATTTCTGATTTTCCAGATTGACCAAATAACAGCCCTAGGAATGAAAGTCCATATTGCAGAATTGGATTTCAACTCATCCCAAGCTAGAAGAAAACTCTTTGCTTCTACAGGAAACACAAAACTAAACCTCCAAAAATTTAGAAATTTGTTCCACAAAGACAACACAACCGAACAAGAAAAGAATAGATGCGATGAAGTTTCTTCAACCATTCTACAAAGAGGGCATAACTCATCCTCAATACCTTGAACACCTCTTATAACCAATTCGGTTTTAACATCAATTTTGTGAAGCACAATTTGCCACACTAATGTTTCAACTCTAGGGGGAACCAATCCTCTCCAAACAATTTTATTCCAGAAATGAACATCTTCTGAACCTGATCCACACCTCTCAACACAAGAACCGACTGTATAAACACCGTCCCCACTGCCTTTCCAAATCAAACCATCACTAGAATCAAGAGATAGAGAAAAAGAAGAAATGATGCTCACCAAATTACACCATTGTTCAAGCTCCCAATCATTTAAATTTCTTCGAACTTGAACATCCCAAATCCAGCCCGAAGAAAGAAATTCCCCAAACTCACAAAGTTCACCGTATTTATTAGTAGAAAGCGAAAACAGTCGAGGAAACAGAATCTGAAACGGAAAATCAGCAGCCCAGCTGTCTTGCCAAAATCGAACATGCTTACCATTTCCAACGTGAAAATTGCACAAACTACGAAACTTAGAACCAAAGGAGTCTTGTTTGTAATGGTTATTAACCACTGATCTCCATAACCAGGAAGATTGAGTAGAAATCTTGCTATCAAACAGTAATCTGGAAGAATCAATGTTGTATTTGCTACAAATAAAATTCCTCCAAACAGAACTTCTCTCATTTGCAAACCTCCAAGACCATTTCCCTAGCAGTGCCCTGTTCATACAAATCAGATTCCGAACTCCCAAACCTCCCTTATTCTTTGATCTGCAAACATCATCCCATTTAACCCAGTGTATCTTCTTATTACCATTTCCCCCTCCCCATAAAAAATTAGACATAATTGAATTGAGAGACTTAAGGATAGAAGTTGGAATCTTGAACAAAGATAAAAAATACGTAGGCAGTGAGGAAAGAACCGATTTGATCAAAACCAATCTCCCTGCTAAAGATAGAGTAGCAGCCTTCCAACCTACTAATTTAGAGTGAAAATTCTGCACCACTGGTTCCCAAATAACAGAAGAATTCTTAGTAGCACCTCCAAGACCACTTGTTCTTAATTGATAGTTTTAGAACTTTCATCTTCAAGATTCTGGTGATATGTGGGCTGGGTTGGAAGTCTTTTGGCCTATTATGAATATGTGATGCATGTGCAATCATGTGTACATATTTTCCTATAGTTTCCCTTTTTGTTGTTCTAAGTAAACTAGTTAGTAATTGGATTCTTAGAAAATAAAATAATGAGTCGGGAAGTTTGTAGTTTGAAGAGCAGTTGTGGCAGTGGAGTCTTATACTTTAATGTCAGGTAGTGATGTGTATGTCAACTGTTTAAATGATAGAGGAGAGAAACATGCTCTTAAAAGGTAGTAAATCCGGCAATTGCTGGCCTGCACCCTTGTGATTTATGTTATCCAGAGTCTTCATTCTTTCTGAAGTACCTAGACATGGTTATGGATGCATGGTCTTATAAATACATAGTTTGTGATTACTAACAATAAATGGAAAAGGTTTGTGATACATAGAAGATGGGAGCTGGTGAAGTGAATTTCTAGCATTTATGGAAAATAAGTGTTTATTCTTTACATGGGATGTAAATTCTCCTTCTAACTGTTTTTTTTTGAAATAGTAAATCCGGCAATTTCTGCACTTAATTGTTACATTCACTGATGTCTCTCTTATTTGGTGCAGCCTGGATTTCATCTTAAACAAGTAGGGCCATATTCTTTTTCTTGTCAGAAGCTTGGTCAAATATCTGTGAAAATATTTTCCAAGGATGATACACCTGAGCCTATCCCCTCTGTTCTGTTGTCATTGAGTGGGGATGATGGGTATAGGAATAACTCTTTGTCAGGGACTGGTGGAATATTCGTCTTCGAGAACTTATTTCCTGGAAGTTTCTATCTTCGGCCTCTGCTAAAGGTAGTAACTAATCACCTTCCTTCAGATTTGAACGTTCAATTTCTAAAGTTTGTTGAAACTGCAAGGGGAAACTAGGCATGTGGTTTAATCTAAGATGATGATGACCATATGCACATTATCGGCGGAAACAATAAAAAGGAGTTTTAAACTAGTTTTGTTTCCTTTAATTACTTCAACCGGTGAATTCTTTTCTCTCTTTCAGGAGTATGCTTTCTCACCTTCAGCACAGGCAATAGAACTTGGTTCTGGCGAATCTAGAGAAGTTGTTTTCCATGCTACACGTGTTGCTTACAGGTTTTTCTTTTGCTTTAACTCTCCAGTTGTCTATTTGGCATTATAAACATTTTTTTTTGGTACACTTGAACAAAGCAGTAAACTAGTGTCTCAGCTGGTGCTCCTCGTTCTTATCCGCTCCCAACAACGCCTGAATTTCAGGTGGAGGCAACTTTAGAATAGCAGAATCATCTCCTTGTAGAAGTGCGAGATTCGCAAGTTTATCGGCGCATTTGTTTCCTTCACGCCAGATGTGCCGAACTTCAACCACCCATCCTTCCTTAAGGATGTCTAAACAATCATTTACCAAATCAGTTTCAGAGGCGTCAACCATTTTGTCTCCATTAAAGAGGTCCACAATCCATTTTGCATCCATCTCTAGGATTAGGTTTCTAAGCCCTAGACTTTTCGCTAACAAGAGACCCTTCCGAGCCCCCCAAATTTCAGCGAGCAAGCTATTAACCCTCCCTAGTCTAAGCATGAATCCCGCTTTCCAGTCCCCATTGCTATCTCGGATCAGACCACCTGCAGCCGCCAGGCCAGAATTCATTTTATACACACCATCAGTATTTAGAATCCAACCCCCTTCAGGAGGTTTTTTCCATTTAACCCAACAAGGATCATTAAACATCCTGCTATGTGAGTTTAACAGGGCTTTATCTACATCCATTGCAAGCCGTTTGGCATAGGTAATCACTTGAGAGGGATCCATTGATGTTTCTTTAAAGATCATTTCATTCCTCATCTTCCACAGTCCCCAAATAGTAGCCGTGAACAAAGGTCCCCATTCTAATCCGTCGAGCCCGACTTTCTTAGAAAGAGTTTGATTTCAGCCAATTCTTGAAATCCATCGAAGTGAATCGGCTGTCCTGTTCCGTAGCATTTAATTCTTCCCAAACAAATTTAGCAATGTTACACCTTCGGAAAATATGATCGATTGATTCTGTTACATTTCGACAACTTTTGCAGTCCGCATACTGTGTCATGTTCTTCCTGCACCTAACCTCATTTGTGTTAAGTTTGTCTAGGTATGACAACCAAATAAAGAACCTGATTCGTTCGGTGGTTTTAGTTTTCCATACCCACTCAAGATTTTCCCCATGTTGACCACCCATCTCCATATTAGAAATTGAGTGGTAAGCTGAACTCACCGTAAATTGCCCATCCTTGGAGAAGCCCCAAGTAATTTCATCTCGTTCATGCGGATCGGTTAGGACTGGAATCGAAACTCTTTGGATTTCCCTCCTTGTTTCTTCAGAGATTTGATACTGGATTTCTCGGATATTCCAAGTTCTATCTTCATCAATATATCTGGCCACCTCTTCATTTCTGCTTGGATTGTCCATTAAAGGATATGAATTTTTCAGTGGTTCTTTTCCTAACCACCAGTCCTGCCAGAATTTTGCTTGAATACCTGATTTTATCTGCCATTTTCCCCCTTGTTTAATTAAGTTCCGAGTTCGTAGCAAGCCCCTCCAAGTGGAAGTGTTGTTTCCACTTATTTCAATAGTATTTTTAAAGACAAGTTTATTATATTTTCCCGGCACTTATTTACATTAATTTGTTTTAAATTTTAGTTTTTTGAGTTTTAGCTGATAATTCAAATATGCGTTCTGCTCTTTCTCCTACTCTCTTCTCTAGTCGACTTACAATTTGAACTTCCAACTTTAAGATCTTCTCTACAGCACTGCTAAACATAGTATATGGCATCTTAAAAATGTCTAGCTTCAGTGTCAGAATCAAAGTACCATGTGGATTTTAAGGTAGTTTAATTTCTTCACAGCGCAATGGGTGTGGTGACTTTGCTCTCTGGCCAACCAAAAGAAGGTGTCTCAATTGAGGCCCGCTCAGAGTCAAAAGGTTACTATGAGGAAACAGTTACTGATTCATCTGGGAGTTACCGTTTGCGAGGACTAATTCCTGATGCATTGTATTTAATCAAAGTTGTGAAGAAGGATGGCTTGGGTAGTGCTAAAATTGAGCGAGCATCTCCTGAATCCGTTCCTGTAAAGGTTTGTTCTATTTGTTTGAAATCGTTTCTCCCCTCCTTTTGTTTTCTATTATTCAGTATGTTTTATCTCTTTTAATACTTTTTTTTTATAAGATTTGTAGGCCTCGTTAAAAACCTCCTTCTTGATTAATGGAACTTGAATAGAAGCTCCTTAATCAGCGGAAGGAGGAAAAGAGTGCCTTATAATTTCATTATAGAAAATAATAATTACAACCTTGGAAAATCTATTCTAAATAACCCTTGCAACAATGAACAAACCCCATCTGAACAGGAACCAGAAAGCCAAACTGAAAATGCCAACAACATCAAAATCATCCTATACCAGCCTTTGCTAAAGCATCAGCATCCATATTAGCTGTCCTTGCAACCCATCTAACAACCCCCCCCCCAAAAATTCTAAGACTATCAACTATATCTCTTTTAATACCTTAATGTCATTATTTTTATGAAGCTTTTGTTGTATAATGTTTTATTTTTACATCAAGGCTATTGTTGTGGGTAATAAGGGTTAAATGGTATTCGTGAAGCTTTATTCAATTCAAAATAGAAAGCTTTTCAGAAAATCATTTCCATTAACATTAACAATTCCTAGGGCTACTACTAAGCTTCAAACTTCTGACATGTGGTTGATTGACTTGCCAGGTTGGGAATAACGATATCAAGGGACTGGACTTTTTGGTCTTTGAAGAACCAGAGATGACCATCTTAAGTGGCCACGTTGAAGTGAATAGGACTGGGGAACTACAGTCTCATTTATTGGTAGAAATCAAGTCAGCCGGGGACGCTTCTAAAATAGAGTCCGTCTTCCCACTGCCATTATCCAACTTCTTCCAGGTGAAGGACTTGCCCAGGGGAAAGCATATCGTTCAGCTCAAATCTAATCTCCCTTCTAACACTTATAAATTTGAGTCGGAGATTATTGAAGTTGACCTAGAGAAGAATGCTCAAGTGCATGTTGGTCCTCTGAAATATAGTGTGGAGGAGCATCATCATAAACAGGTTTGTTTAATTCTGTTTAAATCGTGCATGTGTTTCTTTTTCGTTTCAAACCACTATGCAACTATGTATAATAAAATAGTGACCTTAACTAATATACCTACGTTCGAACTGTTTTTGTTAATTTCTAACTTGTCGGGCATACCCTACAGGAATTAACTCCTGCACCGGTATTCCCTTTAATAGTAGGAGTTTCGGTGATTATTCTCTTTCTCAGCATTCCAAGGTAACTCGAATATATCCTTTTTGAAATCATTCGTCCCCTCATATGCTTTTAAGAGTCGGTGTTTATATGGATAAATCTCTGACAATGTTCTTCCGTCTCTTAAAAAGACTGAAGGACTTCTACCAAGCTGCTACTGGAATACCAACACCAGGTTTTATGACTACTGCGAAGAAAGAAGTGCGGAAGCCGGTTGTGAGAAAGAAGACTTATTGAGAAACCCTTTTCCAGCGACTTTGGGGCTCATAAGAGACTGTTAAAAAGTTTATTCTTCGTTCATTTAAGATCGACTTCAAGCCAGTCAGTTTGACGAGTTCATTAGTCTTAAACTTTATTAGCTTTTTAGAATTGAACCTAATGTATCATTGTAGTAGCAAATGCACGTAGATGTTAATGTATGAACTAGCCCAAGTAAGCTTTAATTGGATTTAAAATTGCACCCAGTTATAGAAGGAACGTTAACTACGACATTAGTTTCAGGCTTGAGAATAAAACAGACACTCGATGCATGGAATTATGAAAAATGAAAATTGAGGTTTCCTGGATCATTAAGTATATGCATATCCGCTTATGTTATAAAAGATTGGATCTATAATATTTGGAAGCGTGGGATTTTCATTATCGAATGCTAAGAACTATGATTATAATAAAATCAGTTATGTTGTCTTGTAGTTCACATGGAAGTTTCCAATCTCCAAAATCAAACTATTGGTATAATTAGCTGCAACTGCAATGGAGGTATCCGAAAGTTTAATGCATTGCTGGGTTCAATGTTTTTTTTATCCATGTTTTTTGGTCATAGTCAGAAGTTGACACCATCAGAGCCATCCGTGCAAGATTGACTGATGGCGAGAAGGAGACGGTAAAAGAAGATAAAACTGATTATGTTCTCAAGAGGATTCGAATACCAACAAGAAGATTTCATCAAAGACCCATTAAATTTTGGAGCTTTTATCTCATTCTCCGACTCCCCCAAAGAGATGAGTCCTCAATACAAAATTGTTATAAAAATGAAATAATATATATTTATATCAAGTTGAAGTTGAACCAATGTGTTTTCTTTTCTTTTGACTTTGACTTGACCCCATGTCCATGTGCTCCTCTCTCATCTCTAACTTCAGATTTCAAACAAAAAAAATCCTCTAACGGGGTCGAGTAACGAGACCGCTGATTCACAAAATATATTTTTTAAAATAATAGTAAATAAAATAATCTAGCTTCAGTCACGAGTCAGATACAACAGTGGGAAGGGACGAGGAGGGTCCATAGCATCAATTCTTGAAAGTCTACTTTCATTGAAAGAGATAGATGGATAGTGAAAGAAAAGACGGAGAATTATTTTTTTAATTTTTTTTACTATTTGGTTATAAGGATGAATCATTCAAGTTTTTGACTAAAGTTAACTGTTAGGTGGATTAAAATGTTTTTCTTAATGCATAAAATTTTAATCACGAGACAAATATGTATGATAATTTCGGATTATACCCAGCCGACGATGGAGACCATTGTTTACATATTCTGCCGTTGGATCAAAATCAAAACTTTATTGATGTCAAGTATGATTAAATTAAAGGAGAAATACATTTATCTTAATATAGAATTAAAGTAACACATTTTAATTATTTTTTGTATAATTAATATTTTAAATTTAATTATTACATTTATTGATATAATTATATTTATCATGTATATTGTATATAAATTATCAAATCAATTTCATACGCTCATATTACCTAAAAAAATATTTTGTTAATATATACTTAACGATTAAATTTTTTTATATAAATAAAATAATTAAATATTATAAATTTATTTGAAACTTAATATATATGATCTATGAGAATAAAACATAAAATATGATAATTGATTATTAAAATTAGAACCATAAAAACAATTTTTGAAGTGTATACAATTTTATTTTATTTTGTTTTTTGTTATAACAAGAGTAGAATACTACTAGTATGTGATTTAATCTATATTAACACATTCATTTTATATCATCGTAAACATCGTGTCTGATGACTGGATAAATTTGTGTAAATTAATTAGGAATATCCGTGCACACTTGATCTGCCACATTGTTTCCTTCTCTCAAAATATGTTTAATCAAAATCATCAAATCTGGTGCTTGAATCTATTGCAGCAAAGTGAGTCATTTATATAATAATTACATTTTCATTGAATATATGTTGTATTGTTAAATTTATTGTATAATATACTGATACCAAAAATTTGACCAAAGCAATGAAAAAAAAAACAAAGATATTGTGCTAATAAAATAAGGATCAAGTCTGAAAACAGCGTAGACTTGTGACCATAGTCAAAATTTGAGGTTGGACTCCAGAAACTAGGCTGCTCATCATGCAACATGGCCACTTCACACAACACAACAAAAACAAGATAAAAGATATTTTTATATTTTTTATTTTTATTTATATTAATAGTTAAATTTGATTTTTTTAATTCAATTTAATTTTTTAATGATGTGACGTAATATCATTTTTTTATTATCAAATTAAAAATAAAAATTATAAAATTAACATAGATTAAAGTAAAATTTAAATATTTAGTTAAAAAAACTATCAAGTTTAAGAAGTATTAATATGAATCAAAATAGAACTGAAAGATTAAATTTAAAAATTATTTCATCCTAAAATAAATAAAGCTTTTAATATTATTATATATATTATTTTGTCTCTTCTTTTATCTCCCAAACGTATCCAAGAAGGAATGACTGGTCAAACAATTTTAAATTAGATTTGATTGTTTATTTAATAATTACCTAAAAAATTATTTGAAAGCAATCCTTGAGGACACTAGACATCTTTATGGATAGTTTCTTAGAAAAATGAATTATACAAATTATTTAAACTTTTACACTTTTAAAAACAAATTAGTATGATTTGGTATATTTTTTATTGTATGAATCAAATGTTTTCAATAGTTAAGGGATAAATGATATTTCTAAATGTCTCAGATTCGAGTGCAACGTCTATAAAAAAATTTCGACATTCATCATTAAATAATTGAGATTTTCGAATAGATACTATCTCCTAAAATTTACAATACAGACATGCTCCTTTAAGCCAGACCTTTCTGTATATGTAAAGAAGCTGCCCTCTATTTATATTCAGATTTGAAAACATTTTATGTACTCTAATCTTTTTTAAATTGTTTTAAAAATAATTAGTAGTTCTTTCTTAACAAAATTAAAATTAATTATTAAAAATATAATTATAATATATCTATACATATATAAGAATAAATAATATAATACACATTTTTGGTTGGTCAAAGTCTAGGCGGATCTCACCCGTTGGATCAAACCACGTGGATACTTGCTGTGCTTTTGTGAAAAACAAAAGGTGGGTACCCTAAAAGCGACGGATTAGGCCGACAAGCCGGAGCATGTATCAAGGCCTGCCCTACTTCCGTTTAGTTTTTCACCCAACTAATCATAGTGAATGTTCTCCACAAAATAAAAAGATAAAAAAAATGAATGCCTAAACATTTGATTATCAACTTGTCATTTCTAACTATTTAATACACATTTCTTGAAATTTAATTATGTAATAATCAATTTTGGTAAATTCTCATTGTAATTTTTTTATTAAGCTAGAAGTGATTAATAAAATATTATATGTTTTAAATGCTCTCAACCATTCGAAAATGAACGTTGAATTACCCTTGTAGTAGCTGGTGCTCGAACCTATAACCTCTAGGAACAATAACAATTTCTTTAACCACTGTGATAAATTGGTTCATGCATTCTCATTTTAAATTTACCTGAAATTTGAAACTTTTAAAAAATATATATGTGAGACAACCTTAAAAAAATTATTAATTCTATGTGAGTCAAAAATCTTGGATAGATTCCTCTGCTTATCGAAACCTATCCTCTAAGAAAAAATCTCCGAGTCTGCTATAGTTTATAGGTATGATTTATAGATAATATCTCTGACAAACGATCTATTATAATAAAATAAAAAATTTAACTATTGAATCTATCTAATTTGTTGCCTTAAGAAAAGCCATAGTAATCGTATATATAACGTTGTCAACTAGAACCACATGCATATCACTTAGCCACGGATTAAAAGTTTTCTTCTTTACCACATCTTTCATTATGCTTTCAATTCTCTCGCAAAAAATATTTCGAACAACGATTATTCTCTCTCATCAATTGTTATTATACATTAAAATCAGTAAGATTAAACTGCAAACAACGAAGGAGACAAACTTGTTGTCATTAATAATATCATATATCTTTTATCTTTCCATATTATTTGATTTGGTCAGGATTATTGAAGTAAGAATAGATTAAATATATTTAAAACTTTAAGGTCAAATTAGGTATGGCGTTGAAATGGGCGACCGTATGTGAGATGAAAGCTACAAGCGGGGTAAAGGGGGAGGATTTCATGCATTAATATATCTATTTATATGTCTTTCACGAGATGGTAGGTGGGAGTGGTTACATCGAATCAAGTGAACAACAATGACATATATCTATTTATTTTGGTTTTCTTTTTCATATTAGAAAGACAGCTTCATTTTCTAGCGTCCTTTCTCTTTAATTTTAGCCAAAAGTATTCAAACCCTTAAAAGATCACCCTTTTATAGTGTTTGCATTCATTAAAAAATATTATCATAAGTTGCAACCTTTTCCAAATTTAACTTTCACATTTAATTTGATCTTATTATCGAGGAAAATATTATGAATGATAATATTTTTTTACCAATATAGTAGGATTATTTGTTATATTTTATGAAATTTGTCACGATAACACGACGAGTTCCAAAAATACTATAACAAATAGTTTAAATCTCAAATTAATTTTCCAACACCTATATTTTCTTAATAGTGGTAGGCTTAAATTTTAGAAATATTGTGGGCGAGAAACAAAAAATTTTAAAAATGTGAGTGTTGAAATTTTATTTTGAGATCTAATTCATTTGCTATAGTATACGTATATCTCGTCATGCCCTCATGACAATTTCATAAAATATATTAAAAATATAATTCATCACGTGGACTTGATGAAAATTGTATGGAGCTCGTCCTAAGGGCATGACGAGTTTCAATTATTTATTATATTTTATGATACTCGTCTCAAGGACATGACGAGTTCTAAAAATACTATAACAAATAACATATATCCCAAATTAAATTTTCAACACCAATATTTTTATAATATTGGTAGGCTTAAATTTTGAAAATATTGTGGACAATAAATAAAAATTTGAAAAAGGCATGTGTTGAAAATTTATATTAAGATCTAAGTCATTTACTACAAACAAGTGGAAATAAAATATATTAAAAAAAAACTCGTGGACTTGATGAAAATTGTATAAAACATATCAAGAGGACATGACGAATTCTAATTACTTATTATATTTTATGAAACTAGTCACAAACACATGACGAGTTTTAAAAACACTACATCAAACAATCTAAATCTCAAATTAATTTTTTGAAACCTATATTTCCCTAATTTTTTTCGTTTGAGTTATTTGTCCAACAAAGTCTTTATCCTCCTTAGGGCTGGCAATTATTCATGGGTGAGTGGATTATCCACCCACCCGCCCCGAATAAATGGATGAAAATTCGTTGTGAAACGGATGATTGGTGGGTGATGGGTCGGGTCGGATATGGATGAAATTTTTTTGACCCATCATCCGCATCATCCATCCACCCATTAATATATCCATCCATCCATATATATATATATATATTATCCCATTGAAAATATGTCTATTAATATGGGTACAAAAAGCATAATTTCTTCACCATTTCTCCCCCTATTGCGTAAATACATCTAAACCTTCCACTAATTCTGCACAAATTTTGCTCAAATCTAGTTCAGTTTACCAACTTTTGGACTTTATTTTTTAGAACACAACTTCCTCAAGCTGCATGCATTGCTTATTCTCTTAAAATGGATAACAAGAAAGCATGCGTTGTCTCGTATATTGGAGATGGTGGCACCAGTGAAGTAAGCACATTAACAATCTTCTACCATGGTGTGCATTGAGTCAATCTGATTTTAACATCCAAATTACAGATAATTGAGGTTGCGTAGAAAGCCAATGGCTTGATATTTGGTTGGTTAATAGATATATTTTGATAGCCTGTAATTTTAACTATAGAGTCATTTGTATGGCATAGAATTGTGCGTGTGATGGCTTGTTAGATTCTTAAGGTATACCATGTTGGTGGAATTATTTTGAGAATATTTCAACTTGATAGTAATTTCCTGATATTTTCTATCTCCCTGAAGTTTTCATCGGTCTGTGTTCTTGATCTGCTTCCTGAGTTAATATGCAAGTATTTGGAATTCTTCAAGGTCTTAAGCATACAAATTTTTGGATGCATAGCAGAAAACTAATCCAACATGCATAAAAATACAGCTTACCAGGTGGGAATATAGGCAAATCATGGGAAAAACCATTAGTAGTTTGAGTAAAGAGTGATTTTATGCTGAAGCAATATCCCACATCGGGGAAGTATATGAGTGGATCACTTATTTGGCATTATAAATAAAAGGCATCTACCGCCTTTTAATATATTTACCTGGACGGGGTTAATAGATTGTTATCAAGGTTCATGGCCTAGGTAAGTGACCTCCATTGCACTTGGGAGGAGCGCTCACCAATGGTCTCTCACTATAGGAGAGCCTACGTTATAATTTGTGGTAATGGGTAGGGTTGAGCAACGAAACCGAAAAACCGATACGAACCGAGTAAAATGGTTCGGTTCGGTTCGGTTTGGCTTTAAACGGTTTGGTTTTCGGTTCGGTTTAAAGGTTTCATTTTTTGATTCGGTTCGGTTCGAGTTTTCCATATGGAACCCATTTGTTCCATATTGAACCGAATAGACAATTTTTGTAAAAAAAATTATAGTTTCAAGTGATTTTTTTATTGAAAAACTGATAAACCGAACCGAACCGAACTGGAAAAACCCGAACCGTTAAAAAAACCGAATCGAACCGAAAAAATCGGTTTCGGTTTTTTCAGTTTTTTAACTATTCGGTTTCGGTTTCGGTTTAAATATTGAAAATCCGTTTATTTCGGTTCGGTTTAATTTTTGGTAAAAAACCGAACCGAACCGAACCGAATACACCCCTAGTAATGGGTGAGTTTGAGCTCAAAATTGAGCTTCAATTGAGCTCGAGTTTCAATTGAGTTCTTGAATTTTTTTGAGTTCGAGCTTTTTTCGAGTTTGAGTTGAGTTTTAATATTATCTTTCAAGTTCGAGTTGAGCTTAAAAATTTTAGGATCGTGAGTTTTCGAGTCAAGTTTACATTTAAATAGTATCATCCATTTCTCATTCGTTTCACCCGTTCCACTCGCGGATGATGATGGATGAAATTTTTAGCTGGTGATGGATGGTGTGGATGAAGATTTGGACCGCGGGTGATGGGGCGGATGATGCTCCACCCGACCCATCTTCGATCCATTGCCAGCCCTAATCCTCCTCCATTACTTATATATATATTCTTTATTTTAGATATAATTATCTTAAATTAATACTCTTTATTTAAATAATTTGTTATATGTATTTAATTAGATAACTAATTATTTATAATGTTTATTTGGGCCCAATTCATAACATTTAGGCCCAAGTTTGGCCAAATAATTTTAATACAACTCTCAAGTCAACTCACATGCATTGACTCAGAAAATCGAGGTGTTACATGGTCCTTCATAGTTTGGTAAAAATTTGATTTAGCCTTTAATTGTAAGATTTAGATGCTATTTGGGCCCCAATAGTTTCACTATGAGCAATTAGGTCTCTAAAATTATTAATAAGTTAATTTTATGTCGAGAAAAATTATTTGAGATGTGCTCGTAATTAAGACCATCAGTCTTTCTGAGAAAATGGTTAAAAACTTTGATTTAAAGATAATAATCTATTTTTTAAAATAAAATAAAAAGAGACCTCGTTAAAAACATCCTCATAACTTAATTAAGTCGAGATTCAATCAAGATATCAGAAGAGGAAAAGAGTACCCGGAATTAAAATTAAAAAGTCAAAATGCAGTAAAAACATGCAATACCCAATACATGTTATTCATTAAAAAATTACCCTAACTTACACTAATACCCAACCCCTAAAACATAGATTTAGGACGCACTATCATTGCTCTTGAGCTGGAAATTCAATGCGATAAGACTCAATTTTCTACTTTACCTTCTATTGAAATGAGACTTGAATTGAATTTAAGAAATTAAAGTGAATAGACCTCGAACTTCAAAATGTTTTATGGTTTTTATAAGAGTTGATTACATCGCATATCCTCAAAGTATGATCCTTATTTTAAATTGGTCCCTAATTTTTTAAATATTTCAATTTAATCACTATACTATGACTATCATTCTAAATTAGTCCTTAAACTTTTGAACATTTTAACTTCACCCCCAAACTATGACTTTCATTCTATATTTGTCCCCAAACTTTTTTAACATTTCAACTTCATCCCAAACTATATGTATATACTAATCACATCCTTTTTTCACTAAAATCATTAGGCACAAGTTATATTATTATATGTTTGAAAAAACAAATATTAGGTTAAAATGTGGTGGAAACTAATTACATATTTGGATGGTTTGAGGATGAAATTGGAATATTCAAAAGTTGGGGGACTAATTTAGGTTATATTATTATATTGAAATGACTAAAATGTCCCTAATCTTAGTTAATGATAACAAAAGCACAATTTGTGAGAAAAATGTACTAAGATATTTCTAACTAAGTAAGTGCTCTATTCATAAGTTGTAAAATGTTTGATATACTCTCTACTCTCTAGTTTAAAAAATCAGTAGAACACCTTTATACAAGCTAAAATGACTACAAGGCTAATATATATGTGAAAATTACGAAAATATCCTATATGATTACTTACTTAGGTTTTGAGGGTTTATGTTAGTTGTAAACATAACTAATGACCTGGTGATGATCATTGTGGGTGTATAAATTGTATAATTTATGTGATCTTTATTGTTAGAGTCGTATAGTTCGATAATGACTCTGTAACATCAGTGGAAGGTCTTAGAACTCAACATAGTTGGAGTAATATTATGCATAATAAAACTAACGATATCAAAAATATGTTTCCAACGAAGTTAATATTCTTTTATGTTCAATTTATTTATTTGTGAATTTACATCGTCAACTCGTTAAGTTTTATATTTCTCTTGAACGAGATATTGGCATAATATTTATGTTATTGTCATGAATTTGACCATCATTATATGTTATTATTTTTTTATCATCTACAATTTCTGTTATACAAAATAATCACACATTACCAACATATTATATACTTTTAAATTCATATAAACGAATAAACAAATACTAAGATGAAAAATTAATACTAATATGTATTTGATTGTTGAGTAGAATTTATGACAGATAAGACATATCTTTATCACATGTGTCATGCTCGATTAACAAAAACATATTATTTTAATAAATAACTAATTAAGAATGCTAACTATAAATAATTAATTAAAAATATTACTTAAATAAAAACTCACTATAAAATTAAATCATAATTTAATGATTAAATAATTAGTTTTTTGTTTGTTTACATATTTCTTTTCATTCCACGATCCAAAGCATAAAGCCAAAACTAAAGAGAATTGTGATCTTTCTTCCTCTTTAATTTTTGCTTTTTGTTTTTTCTTTTGGATTATCGTTGTCTGCGAAAAGAGATGATAGCCCATTCTCAGCGACTGAATAAGTGAATATGTGAGCATTTATGCATTCGAATTATGCCCTTATTTTCACATGTTTAAAAGTGAATCTTTTCATTGGAAGTCTGACCATCGCCAAATCACATAAATATAAAGATAATTTACCTATATAATCATTCCATTGTAAAATATTTTTTTATTGAGTTCATCTATTGAAAAAATTTATAAAATAATTATTTAATTTTAAAAATAATAAATTAATTATTTTTATGAGAATTTAATAAATATGATATGATAGCTAATACAATTAAAATAATAATATATTTAATATTTATTTTTATATTTTTTATTATAAATTAATTATAATTCTAATAACAAATATGTAGCACAAAAGATTATTATTTATCAAAAGAAAATTAAAAAGGATAGAGTATCGTATAAAACTTAATCATTTTAAAGATTTAATAAATGATCTTTCAAGTTTATTACTTTCTTTAATTGCTTCAATTAACAATGAAACGTTTAAAATAACGGAGCGAGTTTTAACGCCGTAAGAATCTCACGTGGAGAGGAGCTCCGTTCACACTTGAAACCAGTCAAAATCTACGTTTGAAAGAGTCGACCATAACTGTCCAAATCCGACCAATGAAGAGGTCATGCAGACAACCGGCACTGTTGAATCCCAGCACAAAATGTTGACCTGTATTTCCCAGTCAATCCTTTATTTTATTATTCTTCCCATATTATATATATATACACTCTCCGCGTTTTATTTCTAAAACGAAGTCTCTTTCACACTTGCCTTATAAAATCACATCAAACCCTACTCTACTCTTTCTTCCTCTCTTTCCTTTTTGAGACTGCAAGTTGTTTGTTTGATGAAGAGCAAACTTTTGGGTTTTTTTCATTGATATCCATGGAGAGAAAAGAGGATCTGAAGATGGAGGATGTGTTGGTGAACTCATCGTTTTCCGATTACATTTCAAGTAGTTTCCCATTACAAAGTGTCTTTGATTTCTGTTGTGAAGGAGAGACGATGCCGTTAGGGTTCATGGAGTTGCTGGGTGTTCAAGACTTGAATCCTTCTTTATTTGATATGGCGCAACAGGCTCCACCGGTAACCCAGAAAATCGAGTCACCTGCAGAGGTTTTAAATCAGCCTGCTACTCCCAACTTTTCCTCGATTTCATCAGCATCAAGTGAGACCGTCAATGATGAGACTGTTAAAGTCGACGACCAAGAAGAAGACCAGCAAAAGACAAAGAAACAGTGAGTACAACTCTTTTTTTCTCTTTTTTTTTTCTTTGAAAGACATATTTGGAAAAGAAATGAGGGTTTTTGTTCTGATGAAGTGTTTGGTTTTTTGGCGTTTGTGATAGGTTGAAACCCAAGAAGACAAATCAGAAGAGAGAGAGAGAGCCGAGATTCGCGTTCATGACAAAGAGCGAGGTCGATCATTTGGAAGATGGGTACAGATGGAGAAAGTACGGCCAAAAAGCTGTGAAAAACAGTTCCTTTCCTAGGTACTTACTTCAAAGTTCAAACCTTTTTTTTTATCCTTTTCCACCAATTTAGATGGCTTGATTTTTGCACCGTTTCCCCACAGGAGCTATTATCGTTGCACCACACCCTCATGTAACGTGAAGAAAAGAGTGGAGAGATCTTTCACTGATCCAAGCATTGTGATAACCACTTACGAAGGCAAACACATTCATCCTATTCCAATCATGCCCCGTTCAAGTCTTCCTGCCGGCGTTCATCTGAGTTCAGGAATCTCCGCCGCCGGAGCCAGTAGTTTTGGTATGGAAATACAAAGGACTCCATCTCACTATCAGCAGCCGTTTGTGAATACGTTGTCTGCTTTCAACTTTGGCCAAAATGGTTCGTCCTTTAACCCCAGTTTTCTCCATGAGAGGCGTTTTTGCAGCCCAGGACCGTCTTTGCTTAAAGACCATGGACTGCTTCAGGACATTGTACCACGCCATATGCTAAAAGAAGAGTAGATTACACGTGCACATGTAAAAAAGTTTCACTCGCTTACTTTGGTTTAAAGGAGGTATAGAAGACCAGTTTCATCTGTTTCTTGTACAAGGAAACTGTTTCTCGACCTAGATGAACATCACTGAAACTTGGTTTTACTTTTTTATCCCCCCCCCCCCAAAAAAAAAAACCCTTAGTTTTCTTGTTTGAGTTCTTGTAATTTGGAGAGATTATGCAGTTCCTTGTTCCATAATTCTTCTGACTCATCGTTTGTCCTATACCTTTGTTTTTTGATGTTGAAAGAATGTGCATTGATTATCGCTGAATGTACAATTAATGTAGAAGTTAGAAAAGCTTTCCGTTTGTATGGGAATAAACGAAAATTCATTTTTTCCCCATTGATATAACGAGGCCTACAAATTGTAAGAATTGGGTGTGAAAGTAAAATTAATGTTCTGCATATCTAAATATGCTTCGGGGGAACATTAAACCTCCCATAGATTTGATTCATTGAATGGTATAATAGGGGAAAATGAAAACCATTTTACATTAAATATTTTATCCCCCTTTTTCTTATTCTGATATGAATCATGAGGCTAAATTTCAAATTGAGTATTTATGGTACTTTTATGTTAATGTTTAGACTGTAGTTTTGCCCAGTTGATATCATTGGGAAAATGAGTTTGAAAGGAAAAGGGCAAATCAGCCGGTTGAAAGAATAGCCTGGAGGATGTGTTAGGTCTCAAAACGTGATTCCTAGGGCCTACCACTGCCCCAAACAAAAGACTATTACGTGAAATTTACCCCTCCAATAAGAACATATTGCCATTCAATCTTATCCTTGGGAAGAAAATATGTTCCAGTAATAGCAATCAACGCAAAATAGGAGAATCTATGTTGTCTCCGACTACAACTTTCTTACATGCTCACTTAAACAACCGACTCGAGTTTCATCGTCTAAAGTCATTCGAATTGTTTAGTGAAACTCTAGCCCCGTGACATATATCATCAAATGTGAAAGCTAAGTTCCTGAATGCCTGAAGCTGAAGGCATGGTTAGCCTAGGCCCTTTGGGCTAAGCTAAGAAACACAAAAAAAGGCAGAGTTATTATGGGACTGCCATTAATTCATAGGTTACCAAAGGATGATGTGGTCCTAACGATAACCCTTTAGGAAATTCCCACAAAACAAGAACCTAAGACAACCATGGGAATGGAATCTTTAGGCTGACGGGCAGTAACAGTTTCACATGCTTCCCGCAATGGAGGGGTATTATCATACTGAAACTGCTGCTTTGTGCTCTTCATGGATGTAAATTTCCATCTGCATTTGCTATGTAAGGCAGGGAATTTGCTCTGCTTCACAAATACTTGTTGGGAGAAGCAAAACAGAGAAGGAAATTAAAATATAATAATGTCAGTATTTCTTAAGTGAATCTTTTTGAAATGAGTTTTCATGGGCATTATTGATCTGGTACTCGTAACAAACCATTCTTCAAATAATAAATAAATAATATGATAATTTTTATGCAGTGCTCTCATGGAAACAATTTTTTTTAATATTTTCTAAACAATTTTTAGGTGTTATTTACATATATAAAGAATGAGTATTATTCAAATAATGTTGTCAAAGTTCTATGGTTAGAAAATGTAGTATTTATAAGTCGTGAATTTAATCCTTATATTTTAATTTCAAATTCTAAAATACTACCTTGACCCTAATAATATAGAGAAAATATAATTAATTTGTATGACTAAAAATTATCAAATTGAAGAATAATAACTAGATCTACAATTAGTGTATAACATAGAAACTAATAAAAGAATTCAATTTAACAGATTTTCTAGATACTGTTTGAATTAAAGTCGAAATACCAAAATTTAAAAGTTTCAAAACTATAAACAATTAAAGTAAAATGAAAATACTAAATTTAAAATTTATATATAATATGAATACTACCCATAAAATTAATATAACTCTTGCAATTTTTCATGGAAGGAAATCTAGAAATTTTATATTTACTATAATTAAATTGTAAAATTTCAAAGTCGAGATACAATTTAACGATTTTATTAGATTAAACTTATGCAAATTTTGATGGGCCAAGGCCCTGGAAACCCACTGGTGCGCCTCTAATTGGGCATATGGGGACCAATGTAATATATAGGTAACTGTTTTTCAAAGGAATTAGATAATCCTTCGAGTAAATAGACACAGAGGAAATCAAGAAAGGATTTTCAGTTTTCTGACGAAGTATTGGTGGTTTTATTTTTACAGATGATTGTTAAAATAAATTTATATAATTATATATTTAATTTTTATCACTTACATCTATCTATTTTTAGAGAAAAATATTTTTTTAAAATCTAACCTAGATTACATGGAGTTAAGGTCACATAGTTAAATTTGACAATATTTATTGTTAAAGATTATTTTATTAGTAAAAATAAAAAAATGAAGTGTTGTACTTGAGTTTGTTGCCACACAATAGTATTTTACCAATAAGTCAAATCTAATGTTGAGTTAAGATTGACAACATATTATATATAACTTAGATCATAGTTAATAGACTATTAATATAACAATTTATAACATTTTCTATTTTAATAATATATATTAATATAATAATGTATGTTTATTTAATAATATATAATAAATTATCAATGTAATTAATAATATTTATTATTTTATTAAAAATATTGTTTAATATATAAAATATATGTACTAATATTTTTAATAAACATTAGTTACTTATTAAAACATTAGTAACCAAGCTGCTAACCCATCGCTGCCTGATTTGATTACTTGGCAACCTCCCTCCCAGGGCTGGATCTGTCTCAATACAGACGCTGCAGTTTCTCGTATCTCAGGCTTTGGCTATATAGGTGGCTGTTTCCGTGATCTTGAAGGTCGTCGTATCCTCTCATTTTCGAAGAGTCTGGGTATCTCCAATGTCCTTAATTCCGAATTATGAGAGTTTTTGAAGGATTACACCTTGTTTGGGACCAAGGTTTTGAACGTGTTGTTATCCAAAGTGACAATGAAGAGGCGATAAAGCTTCTCTCGCCACCGTCCTCTATAAGCCCCTATCACATTGTTCGTGCAATTGCCTCCCTCGACAGAGCTTGGATGCTCGATTTCCAACTTATCCGACGTGAAGCTAACATAGTTGCTGATTTTATGGCTAAACTCAAAGTTCATTCCAAGGGTTGCTTAGCTATTTTCATGGATCCTCCTCCTGGCTTGCCTAGTTTGCTCCAGAGAGACGTGGATGCAACCCCCCTCCACCAAATGTTCTGGCTTTTGTCTCTCTTTTCCTAAAAAAAAAAAAATACTTGATCGATATCATTTAAATAGTTAAATAATTTAGGTGATAAAATCTTTCTTATAATATGGTGAGTATACATGTACTTCACCCTGATTTTTATCTGTGTGTTTTTCAAAAAAAAAAACTTTCATGTTTCTGGAGCCGCATTAATAGCGTCAAGGGTGGGGGTTGATTGTTGTCCCACGTCTGATTTGCGAAAGAAAATATTAAAAAGATAAGATGTAAATTTCAATATTTACTAAGTTTTCTGGTGGGGAACTAAAAGATAATCATTTACTATTCAAGATTTGTAACCCCTTAGACCGATGCAGATAGCCCGATCTGATATGGGGTGTCACATTAGGGCCACCGGAAAAATAACGGAAAATTTAAAACTTTTATTAGACATGTAAAATCATAAAATCATTTATGAATACAAAATAAAATTTATCAGTATTCTAAATTAAAACATATTTTCAAACCCGGATATAAAAACAAAATACAAATTACATGCCCCCTAATCACATGTACAATACTCTGCAAGTAACGCCGGAAGAACTCCCTTAGTGATGTCGATAGATGCACTGATACAATTCTTTTAACCTGCAATGGTGAGTAATAGAGTGAGCTTCGAAAAGCTCAGTAATACAGAGCTACCAGATGATGCTATAGTACATGCAGATAAATGGAAAGCCATATAATTTCCTTATTGAATCAGACGTATACCGATTTTTTGGATAATCTGGGATTCCACTGGTAGTTCATCGAATATAAGCCATGAATATATTAGTTCATAGGAAGCATTCCTAGTATCACGTTTTCAGGAGATCGACTAGGATGTCTAGTGTGTTCCAACAATACAATAAAATCATAATAGGTACATTAATCAAATGATAGTTCCGTAAATCTCACAAGTCATACTGTAGTGGAGCTTTTTAAACTCATAGTTTAAAACCATCGTATAAAGATTTAACCTAAAGGAACATCTTAGAGCCTGAGAGCCTACCCAATAAAGTTTCGGGGCCACAGGGCCTACCTAAGAAAACATCTTAGGGCCGTAGGGCCTACCCGAGAATGATCTCAGGGCCACAGAGCATACCTAAGAGTCACATTAGGCCCATAAAAATTCAGCTTGATCATAATTGTACTTTACAAATCAATATCTCCAAGATACAATTGCACCGTGACATAATTTCCATAAATCCATAAAACATCACCATTAATCAGTGCATCGATAAAACAGTAATCATAGATTTCAGTGTACCACATATTAAAACAAATAAAACAATTAAGTAATACATAGGGAACACACTAGAGAATCTAAGTATTTTCAGAGGCATTTTGTAGTTATCAGTATGGATAACATGAAACTTGTGCAATCTGATCGGATTCCAGGAACGAGGTCTTATTGAAGAGAATCGATTATTAACCGATCTAATCAGACATTTAAGGTTGATACTTTAGAATTCCACTATAATTCATGTGCATCGGGAAAATGTTCAGGAACATTTATACAGAATAATTCTAGATTCAGATTTACTGAGAGTGATTTCATTATCCAAACAATCAGGGGTATTCAGAAATATACTTGGAATTCATAGGATTTCAGCCCAATTGAACCAAATGGGGTATTCATAATATTTTCCTTCTGCGTTACTTGCGTGTTCAGACATGACCGAAGTGATTTGAGATGAAAATGTAGAAACGAAGATTCAAGACATTTACAATTTATGTCGATCGATCGGATTATCAAACAACTCGAGTTACACAACTCTCAGACTAATGCATGCCGACAAGTCCATTCAATGCCCTTCCAAGGTATTCACTCTTTAATACTAACAATTCTTGTCCATTGATCACCTTTAGAATCATCACCAAATAGATCTTAAGGAGACGAACTGATATTTTAATGGTCTTTATTTCATTTCCATGTTTTAAATATATCAGGAAATACATGCGTACTTGATTCATGGTTTATGACCCATAAAGACAATTCATCATGTAAGTTCAACAGTGTTTTCATACTCATCCAATCACCTATTTAATCCTCATTCATAGAGGTTATTTAGTTCGTTTAGCAATCAAGTCTATCCCGATTACTTCAGAGTTTTTCTTTCAATTCAATTTAGTCATATAATAGAGTCATTCTGGTATTCGTGGTTGATTTGTCTCACGAATATACACTTCTTAGTACCGAATGCGCTCTAGAGTTGAGCTGAGCCAAGTACTTCCAGAATTATCATCGATCCAAACTTGAGAAGACGAACACGCATTCAAGTGATATCTATGACATTCAGGTATTGACATAACTGTAGGGTTGATCCACTCACTTAAATTATGTTTCATTACTTTTAAGGGTAATACAACACCTATGTTTATTTGAATTCCTTAATTAACCCAAGACATTTACTTAGTCTAGATCATAAAGGCATTTTGCTCATTTTGGTACTCAACGTTATTCCAGTCATTTCAAAGCTTGAGGATACCCAATAATTCTTGGGCTTAGTGATATTCTTAGGTCATTTCCATTCCAGGGGTATTTTGGTCTTTTTTAAAAATCCAGGGTATTTCAATCATTTCCTTCCGTCCATCTTATTGTTTAATTCAAACGTATCATCATTTCCAGACCTTTTGAACAATTCTGACAAAAGAGTATCATCGATAATTTATTCTTAACTTGGAGATTTTCAGGTCAACTGCCTTCTCAGAAGTTACAAACAAGTTATTAGGAATTTTTCTGTACAAAGATAGGATTTTAACAATTAAATCCGTAATTTATTGAGTTAAGTACGAATCCTCAAAGAACTTTCTCATTCAGGATCAACTCGGACTATTTTTACCTCTCAAGGGCATTTTCGTAATTTCTTAACCAGATAATTCCGGTATTAATTCTTAATGAAAATAATTATAATTTAGAGATCCTATGGTTAATTGTTTTCTCAAACATTCTCTTATTTTGAAATGATTCCTTAACAGACTTCTAGTATATTATACAAACCTTCTTGGGGTTAAAAATCGGTTATCTAAAATTTGTACGCAAAACTAACATTTTTTATGCACATCTTTAGTTTTATCATATCAATATGTCTTTTCAGAGTTATTAATCAACTTCCAGGGACAATTCTTGTCATTTTGCAACATAAGGGTATTTTTGTAATTTTACCAAACTGGAGTATTCTCATAATTTCTCATTCAAGTACATTTAACATTTAACATTTCATGATATAAATTATAAGTTACATATTCAGGCTTGATTCCTTTATTACTAATCACAAAACTTGTAATTTAATTCCAAATGTCCTCCAATTTCTTATATTAATCGTCTGAATCATACTCAGTTACCGAATTTTACCGTATTCGGATCGATTGTAGAAATTAATTAACTACACAAATGAGACCAAATATTATTTTATTCATGCATTGACCATTATCAACATGTTCCATAAAGCATAAAGAGGTATTAATGTATTACCTCGATTTTCGTACCATACAGATCGACTATATAAATTATATTCAAACGCCCTCGATCTTTAATTCAACTTCCAATAATTCCTCAAATACATAATAATAGAAATTTTATCAAAAACGGGGCTTAATTTCGAAAAATTGATCGAATCGGATGATAAATCAGTGAAAAATAGCTTATCGGGTTCGAATTTGGCGAAACGGACTCAGGACATTGAAAAACGTCATGATAGGTATACCCAAAAAAGTTAACGGCCGGTCAACACCGGTCAAAGTTCTGGTCAACGACAGTCAACGATTAACAGTCAACGGTCAACGGGTCGGGTCGGACCGGTTTGTTTTTTTCTGTCCACACGCGCAGACCTTCCCCACGCACGTGGGGCGCGTACGGTGTCGAGGGGTCCAAAAAATCTCGGAACAATTTCTAAAAAATATTTTAATGCATTTTGAGACACTTACCAAGTTCGGTTCACAATTTTGAACGGCGGAAAGCTCGTTTCTGAAACTTCGGAAACTTTGACTTCCTATCCCTCCACGCGCCGACGACGACAGAGACACGGAGGACACCGGTAAACTTGGAATGATACAAGGAACATGATGGTGCGGGAGGTGTCGAAAACGGATGATCGGATCGATCTGAATCGACGAAAAACTAAAAGAAATTGAGTTAAAACCGACGATACTTCCAATTGAAATTTACGACGAACGACGCCGATTCACGATGAAAGGTTTGAGGGATTTTGTTCATCGATCGACAACGAACACGATGGTGGTTTTGGTTAGTCGAACGGTGGCCGAACGATGCATAGATCGGAGTTCAAAGTGGGTTGAGGGGACACGGAAAGTTTATAATTCTCTCTTAAAGAAAAATAGATAAATTCAAGACTGAGTCACTGAATTTCTTACACTTTCTAAAATAGTTTGTCAACTTCAAAATTTTACAATTTAATCCTCAATTTATTCTAAAATACCACTTTAAATTTAATACTTTATAAATCCTAAAATTTAGCCTCTAATTTAGGGTGTTACAAGATTCATTAATTTGCTATATTTCTGTCCTTGGGAGTTAGCATATGAACAGACCGTTGTTTTTATGTACTTTCCACTACTACCATTTGATATTTCATTGGGAAAAACTGTACCAATTAATGAAATAGTGCTATTTTTGTGCCTAGTGAAGAAAATTCGTCATAGTAACAAGGAAAATTTTGGATATGAAGCTGAAAGTAGAATGGTTAGCCTAGGGCTTTTAAGTAAAGAAAAATAACAGTACAGTTACCCTTAAGCTGCAATTAATTCGTAGGATATCAAAGGGTGATTAGGAAATTCACATAAAAACAAGAGCCAAGGGGATTCAATAATGATAAGAGCATTAGGCAGGTAATAGCTATCGAGATGAGAGGATATCGCACAAAGTAACGATGCCAAAGGTTAAGCATCTACTTTTTGCTTGGTTCATCTGAAACAACATATAGCAACAGTGTCTTGCTGTTTCTGCAACTCAAATAAATTCAACTCTTTCAGCTTATTTCATTGAAACCCAAAATTTCATATAGATTGCTAAAAATAAAATCATTTGGATATTAAATGTACAATTAACGAGTTGAAAAATGATATGCAAGACGGAAAACCAACACTAATTACGCATAATATTATTGGGGACCAATGACATAATAAAGCAGAATCAAAAGATGGCAGCATTTGATTTGTACTCAAGAAATGCTCCACTGCATTTAATTTTGATACGAATTTGATTGTTGTTGAACTCGATTTGATACTAAAAATTTAAATGCAAACTTAAATTTATCAAGTTTAATTTGAACTCAAAATAAAAAATTATAGTTTAAATAAATTCAAAAATCAATTAATAGGAGCCCACCTAAGCCTTGAAATATATTTTAAACAGATGCCATGAATCTTCTTTTATCCCTCTCTAGTTGGTGTCCATTTTCTGCTGAATGGATTCATATAAAAATGAAAGGCAATTGATAAACATATGCCATGGATCTCGAGACCATTAATTGATTGATGATGTCTCTAATTCTAATAATTGGATTTCTTAATTAATTTTTTTTCCTTTTTGAATAGTCAAATAAAAAAACTGAGGATGGTTACTTATTCCACCGCCAACTGCCTGTTACCAGCCCCGTTGTACCCGACACGTTCATACACAGATGTCTTGTTATCGCAAATCGGCATACGAAGACAAAACCAACAACTCTTAACTTTGTTATCTGGTTTTAATGGTTTCAATTTCAGTGGTTTACCATTTTTATAAAAATTCCTTTTTTTTTTTGTTTCTTTTCGAAATATAAAAGCCACTTTCTTTTAAAAAGTTATTAGTTAATCGTACGAATAGAGATAAGGTTTGACGAAATCAAGGAAGGATTCTCAGTTTACGGTTCTTGCAGACATCGAATTAAGCTGTTTTTGGTTTCACTCAAGGTACATTCCATTTTCTCCTCTGATTTTCTTATTGCTACATTCTCTGCTTTCCCTATGAAGTTGGCGGCGGCTTATTTTCCCCTGTTTTCTGGGCTTTTATCTTAAAGGGTATAAATCTCTGGGTTTATTCGTTTTCATTTCTTTTGTTTATCTATTTCTTGAGCTGCATTATAACATAGAGACTGGGAGCTGATTGCCCCACATCGGATTGCCTAGAAAATTACCCAGGAAAAAAAAAACAAATTTCAAGCTTTACTGAGTTTCTGGGGGAGTTAAAATGATAATCATTTTTTGAAGTCCTTTAATCATTTAGTTTGCTCCTTCGGGTATTGGGCGTTGAAACTTTAATCATTCACGGCTCCTAAATTTGCAATCTTTTTGTACTTCGAGTTAGCATTTGAATAGACCTTTGTTTTTATCTACTTTCCACTACTGATATTCGACATTTCATTGAAAAATGCAGGATTTAAAGCTTCAAACTTTAGCTGGACTCACCCTGTATGATATTTCTTAGAAGTGGTGGGGTTAATTCATGTAGTCAGTGACTGAATATATGTTTAGCAGTAGTGGGGAACATAATTATCTTAGGTTAAGGAGGAATTAAAGGTTTATTTTGTATGGATCCCTTGCTTACAAGAGAAAGAGATATTGAAGTAGATCTTGAAAGTGGTGGGACTACCAGTGAAGATGAAAAAACAAAAGATGATGTTTCATCGAGTTTACAAACAAAGAGAACTCTCAGTGGAGTTTGGAGTGATCTTTGGAGCTTCGATAGAATAGTCAAGGGTGAAAGTTGCATAAACTCATGTAGTAGTACTTTGAGTTTTGGTGCAGTCGCTGGTGAGAATGCGGAATTCTTGACGGACAAGAATTCGGAAGGAGAAGAGAATCAGGAGCTCCTGACATTGGCGGAGAAGAACTTAAGAGAAGTGAAGTGCAAGATGACAAACTCTAGGAAACCTCCCAAACCACCACGGCCTCCGAAAGGTCCGTTGTTGGATGCTGCAGACAAGAAGTTGGTGAGGGAGATTGCTGAACTTGCCATGATAAAACGTGCTAGGATGAAACAGATTAAAACAATGAAGAGGATGAAGAAAGAAAAGGCATCATCATCATCAAGCACTAGCCTTTATGCTATGGTCATCACGGTTCTCTTTTGCTTTGTCATACTCTTTCAAGGTATTTGACATCTTTTGAGTTCAGAGAAAGGACCCTAAAGAAGAATTATTCTAATCCTTTTAGATAAATATTTGACTCCTATCCTAGTTACTGGTCTAAATCTCATGGACTTCACAGTACCAATATGGGAAATAACAAGACCCCTCAGTTTATTTGTTTTGAATTTGAATAATCTGCCGTTTCATTTCCCAGCTTTCCTAGCATACATTTCCAGGTCATTGTTTCCAGTTACCAGAAAGATTTAGCTTGCTGAATAAGCTTAATTTGTGTTGTTACATAGATCATCCTTCTTAACTTTGTTGATGAGCTACCTCTGCTTCAACCATGACTTTTCTTATGACATTGTATTACAATTTCAACTTCTCCAAGATTTCCAAAGTACTGCAAAATCATCCGTAAAATAAAGCACATTACAAATTCTAATTTCCTTTTACTTGGAATAAGCCTTCACTAGAAAAAACAGAAAGCAAAAATGCTTAGAAAGAGTTGTAAAAAGGATATCTGAATGAAATAAAGTAGTATTCTTTTCAATTTAGAGTTCTTAAGCAGTGAATGGAGTGTTATTATTTTGCATTTTAGATTGAAAGAAATTGTTAATGAGTTAACATTTCTTAAGGTTGTCTTCTTGTAGTTATTGACTTGCTTAGTCACCAATTCTTGTAGCTGTTATTGATAAGCTTGGAATTTTGAGTCCTAGACAAAGTATAGTTTCATTAATAATGCTTTTGCAGTATTTGTTTTGAATGTTTCGTGATAATAGGAAGAAGCACGCTTTCAGCTCAAATCGGTGCCCCGAAGATTGTTTGCTTCTCGTTCCTCTATTTTCTTTATCAGCCAATTGCTCAATGTTGTCTTCCCCTTCTTTGTATCCAAAATTTAAGGTCTATGAAACTGCAATTTCTTGGATCTGTCTGACATTGCTTTGCTCGTAGGTTTATGTTCGAGACACAGTGCAAGTGTAATGTTAGAGGGGTCTTCTGCACCTGCAGTTGGCTCAAGTGAAGGCTTGATTTCTGTTCAGTTTTACAAGAGCTTTCCAATGACCAGAAATCGCGACAACGAGCTTCCCAGGTACAGATTACTTCCACTTTCTCTTCATTCCTAAAATATACTTTTCTGTATTGGATAAATAACTCGTTCCAAATATCAGTTAAAAGACTGATTTACATTAAATAGTGATGAATGGTGATTAAGTTTGTATTGAATAGTAGTAATGGATGAGAGCTTGACCCTTAAAAGAAATTCATATCTGTTGTACACGGTGATTCGTAAAATGTAATGATTGATTTTCCGAACGTTACTTGTAAACGATGCAGCTTGTTAGAACATCAGGTTTCTGGTATGATTATTGGGAAGAAATCGGGAAAGTTAACCGCCAACGCCAAAAAATAGCCTGCCGAAGTTGCTAATGTCGTGTTTTGTGTGGTCGTGTACAATCGGTTTGCCTGGTCTAATCTAAACAAAATTTTGATTAGAGATTTCTGTATACATGAATTGAATGCCGAGCTCCAGTTGTTCAGTTTCGTTCGTAGTATTAGTAATTTAATCCATCACCCCTAATGGGTGCGACGTTTTCTGGTGCCTCGGTAATTTTTATAGGTATACAGTTGACGGATACCTAATAGTTTATATATAATAATGATTATTATTGTAGATCATTTTCTTAAAGTAAAAATAATTATTACATAATCTTCCATCTAAGTTATGGTAAAACCAATTTTAAAAATGTGAAACGAACAATATTGAAGTATAAATGTGCACAGTAAAAAAAACTTATTTATTAAAGTTTATCCAATATTCTGTAAAGAACAGGAATTATTTTATGAATAATGTAAAAAATATAAAATTAGAAAATCAAACAGCGATAGATAGAATTCAATTAGACTTAGTTGGTACGTTACATCATAACATGGTACCACAAAAAAAAAACCCAAATAGATGAGAGGCATTTTAGATTTTTATTTTGCCGAAGAAATAAATAAGATGTTCTGAGACTAATTTTAAAAAGAAAAAATAAAATTAAAAAATGAAACATATCAAAATAGGAAGGTATGGAGAGATGGAAGGACATGCAATGGAAACCAGACACTATGTTATAGAGCTAGATTTATTAGTAAATATTTAGATCAAAAATTAGAAATTGCGAACAAACTAAAAAAAATATTATTTTAACAATTTTAAACACTAAGTAATTAGATTAAATAAATTTAAATTTTAATAAAAAATATTTTTTTGAATCTATTCAACTTTTGTCCATCCCTAATTACTTTTTTTTATTATGCGTTTATTTTATTTATTTATTTATATAAATATTTTTCTCTGGTAAATTTAATTTCACATAATTTTCTATATAGTAAAAAGTAAAAAAAAAAGTTGACTAAGCTTATAGTGTGCTCATTTAGGAGTGTTTAATGAGTTAAGTAGTTCACGTGAGTTGTTCGAACTTAATTTGGTCAAATCTCGACCAACGTTTGACTTGGGTTAATTCCACTCGAACTAGAGCTCGACTCGTTATCTTAACGAAGTAAGTCGAGTAAGGTCTAATTTAACTCGATAAGTTCGCAAACAATTTGTTATATTTTTTTAATATATTTTTTAGTATTTATCTTATTATTTCATTAAAAAAAGTCTAGTTAATAATTATTAATTTGGTAATAGATAACAAGAAATATGCTAAATTATTAATTAATAATTACGACTAATTTATTATTTTTAATAAACAATAAAAAGATATTAAACTATTATTTAATAATGATCAATTTATTAATTTTTAATTTACTAGATTTTACACATTTAAAAAACAAAATAAAATTTTTGAAGAGCTTAATAAGTAATTATTCTAGTCGAGCAACAACTTTTTTAATAAGCACGAGTCGAGTAAAACTTTATCAAACAACGAGTCAATTCGAGTAACAATTTTTTTTAACGAGCATGGGTCGAGTACCATTTAGCTCATGATCAACTTGCTTGATAATGACCCTTATGCTCATTACTATGTGGTGTAGAAAATCGAAGGAGAATTTGATTTTTATTGTTACTCTAATACAATGTTAATTCCACGGCAAATATGGTTAAGGAATAGTAGTAGACTAATGACCGGTAGAAATTAAACTTGATTTCTTTAATAAAAAATTAAATGCATGTTCGTTTAATTAATTAAACACGAGTTTGATTGAATTCATAAACTCACTTCATTAAATAGGAGAGTTATTAATATTAATGTTTAAGTTAGGATGAATGTAAGTCCTACAAATACATAATATAGTGCACATTACAATAAAAGGGAAAAAATAAAAGAGAAGTCTTTCTCAATAAAGATTGTTTAATTATATTTCTTCTCATTTCTTATTTTGAGAGAATTTATATAAAAAGTATATAAATTCTCTCAAAATAAGAAATGAGAAGAAATATAATTAAACAACTTTTATTGAGAAATACTTCTCTTTTATTTTCTATACATTGTAATGTGCACTATATTACGTATTTATAGGACTTACATTCATCATAACTTAAACTTAAACATTAATATTAATAACTCTCCTATTTAATGAAGTGAGTTTATAAACTCAATTAAACTCGCGTGTTTAATTAATTAAACGAACATGCATTTAATTTTTTATTAAAGAAATCAAGTTTAATTTCCAACAATGACAACAAGATACCAGGAAGTATTTTGCAAAGAAAGTGTTAATATTTTTTAATATTTTATAAATAATTTTTAAATTTTATTTTTTATATTTATAATTTATAATTTTATAACTTTTTTATTTTTGTAATTTTCACTTATTTTTTTGTTTTTTTAATATTTTATGAATATTTTAATTATTATTTTTTCTAAAAAATTAAACAAACCTTGTGACTTTAAATAAAAATTAATTATGCCCTTAAATCCATACAAAAGCCAATTATGCACTTAAAGTCGGTTAAAAAATCAATTCAATCATCCTACTATTTCATCATTAGAGATGGGCACTGGATCTGAACTAACGGGTTTCAACCTAACCTGATCCTTTTGGGTTGATTTTTTTTAAAATTTAGTTTGGGTCAGGTCATAAAAAGTTTATAATGAAAAATATCGACCTGACATGGCCTAAAAATAATATAATTATACCATAGATATTTAGGGATAATTACAATAATATATCTATGTATTATTTTTTAATTTAATCATTTTTATTGAATAAAAGTAATGTTTTTATAAATATATTTGTTTCTTGTTAGATTCAGGTTTTATCTAAAAAAGGCGGGTCGAGTTCGGGTCGGATGAAGTCATCATATATTTGAGTCAGGTTAGGTTTAGGGTGGAAGATCCATATCTTTTGGGTCGGATTGGGTTAGTTGGAAACCCGACCCAATCTGACTCATGCCCATCCCTATTCATCATTCACACATGAACTATCACGTTAGCATATTAGACCGTCACATTAGTATTATTAACTGTTACATCAGCATAATAAATTGTCATATTAGCATGATAGATCGCCACATCAACACTGTAATAGTCAATGTTGGTTAAAGATAGAATTGATGCAATTAAAGGTTATAGATAAAATTGTTTATTTAGTTTTATTTCAGGGGTAAAATATACACTTAATCCCTTTTTTTATAATTCTATATACTTTTAAGAAATTTTTTACATATTTTAAAAACTTTATATATTTATTTTCATTTTAAATTAGTTTTAAATAGTTTTTTAGTTTTTTTATAATTATAGTTAAAAATTGTAAAATAAATAAATACTAATAAATTGTTATTTTGGCCAATGTTTATGGGTTAATTAGAAATTAACCCATTTTGTTAGCATAAGACTATCCAACCGCAAAAAGTCAATGAGACCATCTTCTGCCCAACCACCTTATTGAATATTGATGACTGGTTACGGAATAATCTTGCATTGTGTATTTAGTTGGATGGAAATTACTATTCTCTTCTTTGATTTGGAAACTCATCAATGATTTCATCAGTCTTTGTTTTCTTTTTTTAAACGTAATTTATACTTCGTTAAAAAAATTCATAACTGGATAAAATTCGATCAAGATAACTGAAGGGAAAATGAGTACTCGGAATTTTAATTAATTAACATATGAAAGATTTAATCTTAGCCTTTACTGGGCCACGTATTTTGAGAATTACAAACTCCCATCCACTGATCATCCCAAAAAAAGTAGCATAAACGACGTCAAATTAAATGATCCTATGACTTCGAATGTCTCCAAATTTAAACTGATTGAGCTCAAACTGAAAATAGTTTGTTATCTTTAATTCCTGCAATTTCTTAACTACGAACAAAAAACAGAACATAAATTAAATGAGTTTACCGTGAAGTTAATAAAGTGACAGATGGCATGATAAAATTATCGATCTCCACAAAATTTCAGTTGATTTTTTTTTATAATGATGTTCCTGTACTAGTTCATAGTCTTGTTGACAATGATACCTTTGGCTCCTATTGTGTGACTATTCCCTATAAAACTCAAGATATGAGCCCCTCTTATAGTTAAAAAAAGGGTGTAGTATATATCAACTATAGCTTGTTTTGTTGAATCTCTAATTTAATAAAACAATATCATATAGTTAGAAACCATTTGTATTCTTTACCTAAAAAAAAAAAAAAGCCGTTCATCGCATGGCATACATATATTTGATCCTTATTCAATCTTCGCAACTCGACTTTCTGTAGTGAGTCGTAATCGTGCTGTTTTATATCAGTGGGGCAATAGGTAAAAGTAAGTACGTACATCTTCACTAAACCACACCTTTTATTGGACCCCAAAAAATGGCTAAGATTTTCTCCACAGAAATGCTGACGTAAAATATTACACCACAAGTACCCTTCTTTTGCTCACAGATCAAACCAAACTATGGTAGTTTTTAGTGTAGAAGAAGCTTTGTTGAAATCCTCGTCATTGTTCCCTTACTTCATGCTCGTGGCCTTCGAAGCCGGAGGGTTGTTCAGGGCTTTTCTTCTCTTGGCCATATACCCATTTCTATACCTCGTTAGTGAAGAGATGGGGTTGGAGATAATGGTATTCGTTTGCTTCTTTGGGGTAAAGACAAAGAGTTTCAGAGTGGGAAGTGCTGTTTTGCCCAAGTTTTTCTTGGAGGATGTAGCGTTGGAAACGCTGGAGATGTTGAAGAAAGGAGGTGAAAATGTGGGTTTCAGTAATATTCCTCGAGTGATGATCGAGAGCTTCTTGAAGGATTATCTGGGGATTGATTGTATCGTCGGTAGAGAGATGAAGGTGTTTTGTGGATACTTCTTGGGTGTCATGGAAGAAAAGAAAAGAAGCAATGATGCTTTGGAGACGATAATTAGAAGCCAAGAAGATCTGGTTGCCATCAGTAGCTTCAAGGAATCACTTCAATATCACTTGTCTTCTCATTGCATTGTAACTTCTTTTGACATTCTTCTACACGTTCCTTTTCTCATTGAACTGCATTTTCGGTTGCCTGTTGTTAGTTTATAATATAATACTAAATTACGGTTGCGGTATTACGGTGATTTTAAAAAATATTACTATTCAATGTTACACGGCATTATGACTGTAATTTAATACTACTGCATTTGGTGCAACAGGAAATTTACCTGGTGAGAAGAGCCGACAAGAGAAGCTGGCAACACGTACCGAGAGAGGAATACATGAAACCACTGATTTTCCACGATGGAAGACTGGCTTTCAGGCCAACACCATTAGCCACACTCGCCATGTTCATGTGGCTCCCCTTCGGCTTCACCCTTTCAATCATCCGAGTCATTACTGCTTTGATGCTTCCTCATAGGCTCTCCGTCCCAATATTAGCCTACACCGGGTTCCGCCTCTCCTTTTCGTCCGATCCGTCGCTCGAAAACGTAAACATCAATCGGAAAACCAAAGGCGGCCGGCTCTACGTTTGCAACCATAGAACACTGCTGGATCCACTCTACCTTTCGTTTTCATTACAGAAGGATCTCACAGCCGTTAGTTACAGCTTAAGCAGGGTGTCGGAGCTGTTAGCGCCGATCAAAACCGTGAGACTGACCAGGGATCGTGATCGAGATGGAACCATGATGGGAAAGCTATTAAACCAAGGGGACCTAGTTGTGTGCCCCGAAGGAACCACGTGTAGGGAGCCTTATCTCTTGAGGTTCAGCCCTTTGTTTGCTGAGATGAGCGATAATATAGTCCCGGTTGCCATGGACAGCCACGTTAGCATGTTCTACGGCACAACGGCTGGTGGCTTGAAATGCTTGGACCCACTGTTCTTCACCATGAACCCACGTCCCAGCTACAAAGTACAGGTCCTTGCTGGTGTGTCCGGCGTGACATCTTGTGTCGGTGATAGTGACAGATCGAGGTTCGATGTGGCTAACCATGTTCAGAGTGAGATTGGGAAGGCTCTGGGTTTTGGTTGCACCAGGCTTACCAGAAGAGACAAGTACTTGATCTTGGTGGGTAATGAAGGAATAGTTAATAAACCCTAAGGAATTTATTAGCTTGTTCCTTGCCCTGTACCATTAATATCTATGTTGGTCTAGGACCTACTTTATATTTCATTGTAAGTTGCAGCATAAACATTTTTTTTGTATTTACCAAAAAAATAAACATAATATTTTGGCCGTATAAGATGTATATTTGATTCACACTTTTATTTAATCATTTTCTTTTCTATTTTTTTCATAAATTAAAATAACATCACAATGCATTTTTTACAAATATAAATTTATTTTATCTTATTTCTTTTATAAACCTTAACAATTACTTAATTAGTATGACTTGAAAGACAACTTGAATTTACTATCGGTTATAAAATTTAATTTTTTTTATATTTATTATTGATTTAGTAACTATGCCCACTTTAAAATTTCATATCGTAAATATATAATAATTCACAACTCAAGAAAATTAATGAATGGCTATTATATAAATAATATTCCAAAGAGAGATTGGGACATCGCAAAGAATTATAGCTTGGAAATATGTATTATATATAATTATTTCTTTTGCATGTTATGGTTGTCTCTCATTGAAACACATCTCAGAAAATTATAATATCTCGTTGATAGTGGTCTGTCATATAGTTTCATCTTTCCAACCACCAATTGGGTCATAATACTGAAAATCGAACTTTAAGTCAAATTGTGACAGATCACATATGTACATTAACAAACAGATTTTTTCAAGATATAATGTATGTGGTCTCAACATAACCGTACATGGCTTCTTATTGGTCAGGATCCAGTCTCTGACTTCACGATCGCTAAGCTAGTTCTCATGAGAAAGCTCAGCTCGATAATTTAATATAATTGTCAAATACCGAGAGATTTAAGATAAACCATCAAATTTTGTATATGTATCCATATCATGTTCACGTTATTTATTATTTTATTATGTGGACTATGTTTACCTAAATCACTTATAAGTGATAGATGAACACTACTTACCAACATAATTTATGTTCATGAAACAGCAAATACATTCATATTCATGAATCAAAATAGATCATCTACTAAGTTATGCTAACCGCTACAATTTGCATCCACATATTTAACAACCACCACCCTCACCTGTGATCCAGGGGTCTTGGCAGTACGAAGATGAAACCGTTGAGTAGCACCACCATCAGTCTATTACGGCAACTTCCAGGAGGCGGTAGCTATTTTCTTAAACTCATCAGACGCATTCTGAATAAGTTTGTTTAGAACAATGACATGGAGCTTCAAATTACCAACCTTAAGATTCTTAGTCTCCTTCTCCGATTTTATGGACTCATGTTGTTCTTGTAACTGGGTAATCTTCTTTTCGATCTCTTCCATCTCTTCGTCGAATTTAGATATCTCCTTTGTACTCTCAACTATCTCCCTTTCAGCTTTTCTCTCTCCCTTAGTTGCTGATTATGTCCTCCTTTGATAGAAAGTAGTTTATTCAAGCGGTGCCGAAGCATAGTAACATCAAATCCATGCTTTTCCAAGTCACTAAGACTTTCCGAAACGCTGTCAAATGTATCTCTAGGTTCATCAAAATGCAACATAGATATCTTCTTAAACAAACTAGCAAAGGTTACCATGATACCAATTGCTGATCCTTCACGAAACTCCTCTCTGTTTTCAGCCAAAGGTAGAAAATGTGGTTTTTGAGGCACAATTCGGAAGATATCCATAGAGTCAATAGTTCGCCATACAGGTGATCTCTTCACAAAAGGCAAACTCTGATCATTAATCAATGGACTTTTATCATTAGCATCAGTTGTAAGAGATTCAATTGGAACATCAACCAATCCTTTTTCCCCATTCCATCCATTGACAAGCCTAGTAGGGTGGAGTCCTAGAAAAAAAATGATGCTAAAAATGTCATAAATATGAAAGCCAAGTGATGGTCTATATTTATGTACGCACAAAGCAAGTGAGAGAGTAACGGATCGAGAAAAGAAACGAAATTCATAAATCTGACGACATATCTTACTTGATTCTTCATCACCTAAAGTATGCATTCCTCCTATCCAAGTTGAAAGAGGCCGATCCTCATCAATCATTTCAAAAATCCCAGGAGCCGCCATGTGAACCTCTTTTGTTTTGTAATTGTCACTTGTCCTTCCTCTAGAATTTTCAGCGGCTATATAATTAACAGATAAGATGTTAATTTAAAATATATAAGGTAACCATAAGCTGCAAAAGATAACAGATAATTACATTGACGTCAGTTAAAAGACAATAAGAAACGAGAAAATGTTGTTGGTACATGCATAACCTTTCTTCTCGACATCACCCTCCCCTCCCCCAGCCCCGTGAAACAAAAATAACACCTTCTTTCATATGAATCACTAGCCAAATCCTTTTTTCCTGGAAATTGTTCCCATTACATCTACACTACTCTCCTACCAATTAGCATACTAATTGGAAAAATCATTTAAGAAAATGAAAACTGCTGGTTACTTCCAATCATGTAAATAAATAGTTCAAACCACACTCTAAGGTAGAGCATTTCCCATTTTGATAGGAACTTCATTACCATAAACAATGGTATCTCCAACTATAGCCCCTCTGGGATGTAAAATATCTCTCTTCTCACCATCCCCAAAGTGTACAGGTACACTTGGGTTAAAACATTGGGAAGTGCTTAACCAAATGCTACCAAGAGAGCCTTATATAACAGTTTTATATTTTCCTTGAGGCTTATTACTAACAATGGCAGACCAAGAACTTAGACCCCCCATGTACCTGACAGATCCACCCCTTTACATTTTGACAAACAAGCATCACCACTCGCACAATCTGTTACAGCATTTTCATCAGTGATTCCTCCAGCCCCATTTTGCTCCTTACCTACCAATCGTAATATTAAGTTTGCATTGACACAGATTTGCATATACCCAACAAAATGCTGAAGCTTAAGTTTTATATACCAGCATCAAAAGCCTTTGTACTTGTAACTACTGATCTACTAGGTCTTCCCCTCTTCCTTTTCTGATTGCTGGCTCCAACTTTATGCTCCTTTGTTCCCTATACAAGTAAGAGCAATAGTAACAATTACTAGTAAAGGAACATAGATATAGGAACACATATCAATAAAGAGGACTCCTATTACATGTTTGATACTCCTTAAGATACAAGACAGGCCAGGGAGCAGGCTCAAGAAAATTTTCTATTTTGAAAAGTGAGCTGACAACACCCAAAAGTTGATCACTTTATTTTTTTGATAAGATTTGAATGCCTCATTAAAAACCACCTTCTTGATTAATAGAGTTTATGTGTAAACACCTTAATCAGCGGAAGATGAAAAAGTGTGCCTTATAACTTTATTAAATAAATTAGGAATAACAGCCTAGAGGAATAAAACCCAATAACCCTTACAAGTAATCACTCGAAAAACAAAATACATAAAATTCAGCCTATACCAGTTTTTGCTAAGGCATCAGCCTCCATATTAGTTTCCTTGTAACCCATCTAACAATTCCCCCACGAAACCTAAGTTTTACAACTATATCTTTAACAATAAAAGCATACACAGCTGGACAAGAATCAGCTTTAATAATCCAGTCCACAGCTACCCTACTGTCACTCTCAACAATCAAACAAAATTTTTCCCTCCCTTGGATAGATGAGACGAAAACAAGTCCCCTTTGAATAGCTTTAAGTTCCTTCAATGTTGGAGGACTCGGACCCTCTGACTCCTGAAAAGTTCCTAATATTGCACCAAGATGATCCCTTAAAATGCCTCCCAACCCACTTTTCTTCCAATCACTACTAGTGGCAGCATCCACATTCAGTTTAATAAAGCCTATAGGAGGAGGACACCAGGGAAAAATAGAAGACTTCAGGAACTTGTAGGACGAATGAGAATCCCCTATTGAAGGGTCCGAAATCAACGAGTCTTTAGGAATAGAGATATCCTTATACTTAGCTAGGAACCAAGATGCAAGCCTGACTCTTGCTAAAAAGAATAATTCAATCTGGTCCAACTTCTCCCCTTCAAAAACAATAAAATTTATGGTTTTCCAAATGGTCCAAATAACAACCCCAGGAATGAATGACCATATAGCAGAATTTGGCTTCAACTCTTCCCATCCTAAGAGAAAAGTTTTAGTATCTTCATGAAGAACAGAACTAAAAGTCCACAATTGTAAAAATTTATTCCATAATGCCCACACAACCGAACAAGAAAAAAATAAATGCGAGGAAGACTCATCAACCTTTTTACAAAGAGGACATAAAACATCATCAATTCCTTGAATTCCTCTTCTTGCCAATTCTGTTTCAACAACAAGCTTTTGCTGCACAATTTGCCACAATAATGTTTCAACTCGTGGTGGTAGTAATCCTCTCCAAACAACCTTCATCCAGAATTGAACCTCTTCGGAACCAATAACACACTTCTTAACACAAGAACTGACTGTAAACATACCATCCCCACTGTCTTTCCAAATTAAGCCATCACTGGATTCAGTAGACAGAGAAACAAGAGAAATAGTGCTCATCAAGTTACACCATTGTTCCATCTCCCAATCATTTAAATTTCTTCTAACTTGAACATCTCAAATCCAGCCCGATGGATGAAAATCTCCAAACATAGCTTTTCTGATTTATTAGGCATTATATATAAAACAACATTAGATATACTCTTTTACCTATGATCATGACAATGAAAAAGAACTATATATCAATATTACGTACGTCCAATTGTTTAGTGACAAACTGGTTCCCATCAAGAATTTGAGGCAATTCAAATTTGGTAGTTTTCTCTGAGCCAGAGACTAATATGAAATTTTTGCTACCATGTTCTCATTTATGACTGAATCATTTACATTATTCTTTTGATCCCCCATTAGCTTCTGAGGTTCCTCACTAGGAATCTGAAGGGAATTTTCAGCCTGTAAAGTCTTTGTGATTGCTGTTAATCCTATGACGATGGGCATTTCAACTTCTTTTGTTTTAATCGTCCCTTCATTAGTTTCTTCAGCAATCCGTGTAGCTCCATCTTTTCCTGAAAATATGTAATTCACATTATTTTTAAACAATAATTAAACCGATACACACGTACCGATTGCTATATGTACCTGCTGCCGTACCCTGTGGGCCTTTACTTGGTGACTTTCTAGCTCTGACATTCCTTTTCACAAGGTTATTTGCCGTACTGTCAACTGAACCAGCTTTCTGCCTCTTAGTTGTCTGCATCAGTAAGGGGAAATGTAGGTCAAATGAAGGTAGTAGAGACAGTGCTGATCAGGAATACTGGCTGATGGAGCCAACAAAACCAAAGTGACAATACTCAATGATCATTACCCAGTTAAAATGGTGATGTTGACAGAAAAGGCAGTCATCATTTGAGGCAGTTTGCTGCAAAGCAAGTGGGGCACATTGAATATCCCAGTTGAAAAACAAGTTTGCTTAACTCTTGAAACAACCCATTGTGCAGTAACAACCACGTCAAGCAGGTCAATTATTTTACGATGTAGACATGATTGTTTTTAGTTATTATGATTTCAAAGAGGCAAGCTGGTTTTCACTTCTTTGTTAATAACTTGGCATTCAGAGGTTAGAGTTGAAGGAACACATGATTTTCTAGCATATTTTAGAACAGAACATACTCTTAACACAGTGCAGCTCTAGAAGCTGTGTGGTTCAAGGAAAGGAAACTCAAAGATGCAATACAGATACCACACGATAGTAGAGTACACCATATTTTACAGTGATATTTATACATTTCTCATCATTAAATAGAAATGTATTAAAATGTCCAAAAGAAAACAGTGGAGGAAATGAAAATGATCTGACAGTATTAGCATGAACAATAGAACTCCAAAAGAATAAATCTAACTCACAGTTGTTGCTCCTGTTGTCGGGCTCTCAATCTTGGCACAAGAGTCATCATCAATCACGGTTTTCTTCGAGAATTTAGCACCTTTACCACCAGTCCTTGGGGTGTCTTCTTTACACAATGTTTCACTAGGCATATCTTTTAACTTATTGCCTGTGACTGATACCGGTGTCTCTACTGCATTTCCTTCAGTCAGCTTTTTTGAAGGCCGTGGGTGAGAAGTGTTACCATTTGATGTTTCCAGCTTGACTTTCTTCTTGCTTGTTTTCAAAGCATTGTTTTCATCAGTGGAAGTCGACTTTTCCACAGCATTCTTGTTCATCTTTGTCAAAGGAGTTTTATCTTCAGTGTTTCCTTTTGAGGGTAAGGAACTATCAAGTTCTCCATCCACCTTGATCTTTCGGGTATCACAGAGAGCAATTCCTATCTGCTCTTGCTCATCAGACGCAATAATGACTTCCTGAAACAAAAAGCTTATTTCAAATATTTATTTCCTTTGCCTTTCAATATGATTAAAAGATGTGACCTACACAACATAAACAGCTCATTTGATTTTAAAGTGGGAAAATAATAGAGAAAATGCATATCCCGAAAAGAAGACATAGGAAAGATACCTTGGATTTACTAACCCATTTGCCATCAGTCCATTCAACCTTAGGTCTGATATCTGAGTGATAGAATCCCTTGTCCTCATTTCCATGCTTAAAAAAGACATTGTACCTTCTTCCTGTAAGAACTTTGGTTATTACTCTACTTCGCCAACCAATATTATATGTTGCATCCACTCTTTCCAGCAATTCATAGTTTCTATCTGCGTATCGAGGAGAAGCGGGCCTGATATGGAGGGAATCAACAACTTTTACTGTCCCAGGCTCATCACCATTCATAGAGTTCTGATACTTCACCAGGAAAGTATTGTCCTCATTTTCTTTTATGACTAATGCAGGGTACCAAATATTGCCTATGTTTTCATTGTCGATATTTACCTCCACAGTTGTTCCTGAGCTAAAAATGGAGCCTGTCGATTGCTTTAGAACACATAAAAAATTAAAAACAAATAAATAAATCACTCACATGGACATGGCACCAAAAGTCAAAAGAAAAAGCAGCATGCATTATTGAGGGAATTACAAAGTTTGCTGCAGATCAAACTGAATTTAAATGACAAAAAGTAGCAGAACTAAAACAAAGGAAACATAAAAAGTGAAGCACATATGTGAGTCTTTTGCAGCAGTCATGAAAGCATAATTTCACTGTAAAAAGGTACATGAAGTGAGATTAGCAGTTTTAGTATTGAAACATATATATTCCTAAAATAAATGAACCTCGGAAATTAACCTTTTCCGATACCTGCTTTTCAGGGCGAACCCATTTGCCGTCGATCCAGCTCCAATGAAACCTCAAAGCTTTCCTCTCAAATTCAATGACATCAGGTGGATTATCGAAGTAAACCCTGTATTTGGACTTTTTTCAAAACCTTCCTCACAACCCTAGTCCACCAACCATCTCTGTAGCTCGCATTAACGACGTCATTTACGTCAAGGTGAGCAGTCCCCTTGTCATTAGGCGGCAAAGGGCGGATATAAGCAGGATCGACATGTTCCGTCAAAGGGGAGGAACCAACATCGGCGAGCAAAGTTTTGTATTTAACCAAGGCCTTCTTGCGCTTCTTGGAAGCGGACTTGGGAGGGATTTCGAGAATTGTGGCGGAGTACCAAGCGCCTCGAAAGCCTTCGTCGTCGCTGCTGACCTCCACTGGGGCTCCCTTGGTGAAGAAGGGGTGTTGGAGTGGGTCAGTATCAGTAGAAGGATTCACCATGCTGCTGCTGTGGAATCTTTGTTGCAGAAAATCTTTGGAAGCCTTGTCTTAGTCTTCCTTTGGTCTTAATGCCGTCAAACAGGTAAAGTTCAATGCTATTGACCTCTGTTTCACTTTTCCTATTTTCTTTTTCTGGAAAGAAAATAATTAAAGGATTGGACTTTACAATTATATATTTTCTCCAACCAATACCAGTAATGTGGCCAAACTTTATCGTTAACTTAATGTAACTACACGCATTGTACCATAAATAATTTGTTTTTGCATAGGAGAGATGGATTCAGCTTCGGTCCCCCGAAATTCAAATATAAACTGTTGGATTATATTTGATTTATACGCCAAAACTCAACAGGCTTAAATTCTTAAAACAACCTTCAAATGGATCTCTCAGACCACGTCGGTGACAGGACAAATCAAACAATTTTAAGGATTAATAGATTTATTGTTATCCCCATCAAATCCCATAGTATAAGCATTCATTATTTAAATGTTGAGAATCTTTGAAAAAAACACTACCTTGTATTCACTTAAGATTTATATAAAAAAAAATGATTTCATTAGTAAAATTGAATATTATTCTCTCTAAAAATCCTAAATTTAAATAATTACATTTGTAAGATATATATGTTATCAATTAGTTAAAAAAATTCTAAACACATACGGCCTCGGGCAATCACCCCGTACAACTAAAAAAAAAATCAAACCCTCAAGTCTTTTTCCCTACAGTTCAAGTATCTAATACAAACTAAATTTTAACACTCATAACGAATGAAAAATATTTTCGATAAATTTTATTAATGAACAGTCATGGATGGGCCAATATACTTATTTATAAATCTATTAATCACGTCCTCAATTTTTTACGTTGGGTTTTAATTTTTATTTAAAAACTATAAAAATGTTAAATGAAAAAAAAAAGCATGATTAAAATAGTATTTGTCACCATTTCTCAACTCAGTCAACCCAATTGGTTAAAAGGTTATAAATTAAAACCCTAAACCACCTAAAAATTTTAATATAAATAATTATTTAGAGAAAAAGATGCGCACTAGGAAAATAACGAGGTAGACTCCTAAAGATTAGTCTAAACATTTACAGAATCAAGTAATCAAGCAAATGTTTTTGTTTTTCACTAAGGAAATGAGTTTTTGGATTCGGAGGCTTTATGCATATCGTTCACAGAGAGTCTCTTTCTTCCTACTTGACCCCAAACCTACGAAGCCTAGTCAAAGGAGGGGGGTGGGGAAGATGGAGCTTCTGCAACTGCTTCTAACGACCTTGGTTAGATTTAACAAAGGGGCTGCCAATGACCATGAGATCTTCACAAGGAATCATAACCAGGCTGCTGAGAATTTTGCCAATCCAAACAAAGCAATATCATCATCATTTGCCTATACAAGGCGAGAAACAATGTGCTTGTTCACCCTTTGTTATAGATCAGAAGCCTTCATCTTTCTTGGCCTTTTATGAGCTCCTGCTGGTGAAGATGAAGTCTCAGATGCTCTCCCAGGTCCCTACACATCATAAGATCAGATATGTTCCAAACCTAGGACATAGGGAACTCACAAAGCCAAGAAAATATTACACACACGCTTAAAAATATAATTAGCACATACCTTTCGTTTTTGCTCCCTTTTTACACCTCTATCACCTGGAATTACTATCAATTATGAAAGTAATCAAAAACACTAAACTCTCCCATTTCCGATAAAAAAAATTAAAGGAAAATTAGATATATAATACCTCCAAAACTAATGGTGTCGAGGACAAACGTACGATCCTGATCCGCAGCACGTTGTGATCGCTGCTCAATTGACAGACCTCCAAAATTTCAATATTTGAACCATTGACATAATCACACATCTATAATTCTATATGAGATTAAAAGGGATCAGAGAGACAGATTTTCAACCTTTGCAGAGCCTGGCATATCACCATAGGAACCATCACGGAAAGATGAACCCTCTGCCTCCTTGTATTGCAACTGTTAAAAAGACAACTCGTGAAATTTTGAAAGCGGCACACCACTTACAATACTGTACACTACTCTAATCAATCATGATTTGTTCACTTTTAACGCCTCGGCTTAATTTCTGTATACAACTGATATCATAATTCCAAACTTTGGTCTTATTCCAAATCTAAAACCCCACAGTTTTAACACCTTGGCTTAATTAGTTTAAGCACAATGAATGATATAATTTTTCAGAATTTCCTATCAGAAAGGAAACTATTATATTCAGGACTCAAGAAAATGAGAAATACCACGACTAACTTCATGATTTTTTCTTAAATAACAAATTTGGTAAGTGGAATTGGAGATGTGAACTATTTTATCCAACGAAGCTATACAATAATTTTGCAGGAATTGTTGAACTATAGTTCTCACCATGGTTCAACCCCTGCTGCATTAAAGGATTTCACATTATAAAAAAATGAGCACAAAGAAGACTACTATTCTACAAATAATATAATTTTTCAGAATTTCCTATCAGAAAGGAAACTATTATATTCAGGACTCAAGAAAATGAGAAATACCACGACTAACTTCATGATTTTTTCTTAAATAACAAATTTGGTAAGTGGAATTGGAGATGTGAACTATTTTATCCAACGAAGCTATACAATAATTTTGCAGGAATTGTTGAACTATAGTTCTCACCATGGTTCAACCCCTGCTGCATTAAAGGATTTCACATTATAAAAAAATGAACACAAAGAAGACTACTATTCTACAAATAATTTTGGGATATGAATATAAAATACCTGTTTCTGGAGATTTAGCAGCGTTAGAATTTCTTTTCTTAATTCAAGATGTTCAGCACAAACAGCCTTTGTTGGAACCTTTGGCTTTAAGTTAACCTGTAAAAGATTAATATAATTTAAACCAATCTCAGAAAGATATTAAACTAAAACAATGAAGAATGTTTGCAAGATTTAGAATTGAATGACAAGCAAATGGCTAGAAATAAGGAGCAAAGGATCTATTTCAGACTAAATTGACCATAACTGTAAAAAGTAATAAAGCAGGGTCATCTTACAATGACAACAATCACAAATTAGCACACTTAGTTGAAAAGAAGTATCTCTTTTACTGAACCTCTACACCATCCCCAACAAAACATAAAAAAACCTTACAATTTGAGAAATCAAGATTGAATAGCTCGTAATATGAAATCCTGTGAGAAACTCTCTCTCTCTCACACACACACTCAAACACACACACACACACATAGCACACTTAAGTTGAAAAGACGTATCTCTTTTACTGAACCTCTACAACATCCCCAACAAAACATAGAAAACCCTTGCAATTTGAGAAATCAAGATTGAATAGGCTCATAATATGAAATCCTGATAGAAACTCCCTCTCTCTCTCTCTCTCAAACACACACACATACATAGGAATCTTCATGTATAGAAATTGCAACTAGAATATACAACCATTAGAAAGAGTTTTCATGTCTGGTCGTCATACATTTAGTACAAGATCATCCACCCATAACTGATAGAAGAACATATCTGCACATAATTAAAATTTCAGGGAGCAGAGACAAACCTCAAGATCTTGTAAGGTTTGCTCAACTCGCTTGATTGTCCGAAGTCCAGCAGATGAGCTTGCAGCTTGGACCATTTGCTCCAGTGCATAAGTTCTCAAATATACCCTAAGCTGAAAATTATATCAAAGCAGTTAGAGAACTCTAGACTACCAAAAAGCATCCAGTAACAAACTTTAGAAAACAAACACAACCTTTATTCCATACAAACTTCCAAGAAGTAATTGCCTTAGGTACTAATCAGACCATAAAAATTTTGGAAACAAAATGAAATGAATTATTATAAGGGAGAACATTTAGTACAAGTCAAATTAAATATGTTTTAATATTAATGGGAGTCATTTCCCATTCTTAATTTATTTTCATTCTTCAATGTAGATAAAGATAGAAGAGAAAACAGAAGACCACATGCTGCAAATACCATTCGCAAGGAAGCAAGAGTAGAGGAATTATCAGCAATTACTGAGGTAGATGGTGCGGCAGCTGGAGCAGGAACTTGAACATTGGAAGGAGATATAGTATCTCCAGGACCAACAGCCCTCTCAGCACTTTCAGGACCAATATCAGAGGCGATGGGCAAATCAGGTTCTTCGGCAGCCTGAACAGTATATACATCGAAAGCCATATTATTCTGGACAGTAGAAAATCCAGGTACACACACACAAAACACACAGACCCCTAAGATTCCTAACTATATTCCAACTCACGCATTCAACATCATGTGACTATCAAATCAAGTTGCAAAATCTTATGCCTTTTGACTTCAATTGAAAATTCAAGTGGCATTAATAGACATCACATTTAAAGTCCAGCAATGGCATTGCAACCACCACAATAGCAGCTTGTACGGCTGATACATACCCGTGCAGCCATACGTGACTCGGCTATTCTTTTTGCTTCAGCAAGAACCTGCAGAATAAAACCATAGACCGGTGAAGAACTATAGATATTCAACCAACAACCTACACACAAATAAATAAAGGGAAAATCACATAATAAACAGCAGTAAAATGTTCAATAGAAAAAATCTGCACCTCAGCATCTTTCCGCTCTTGGTGCTTTGTTTGAGAGAGGACCATTGATAAAGCACGTTTGCGTTCAATCTCTTGAGTAACATTGTAGGGTTCCTATACCCAGAGATTAATATCAGAGATACCGTACAACAATTGAAAGTAAATAATTTTCTAGAGTAACATTATATACTATAACAGCTTTCCCCCCCCCCCTATTTCCTAGAAACTGCAACAAAAAGGTAAATAGTTTAAAAGGTTCCACTTATATAGATACCAGACCTTAACAAGAGGATGCCCTGCAACTTCTCCAGGTGATGGAGCCCTAGCAACCAGAATGGTTCGAGACACTACATAAAGATATAGCCATAATAACCATGAGAACCATATAACATCTCAAAGATTGATTAAAACAAAATTATATCCAAATCTAAACTGTAAAAAGAACAAAAAACTATTTGAAT